GTCCTTCGCCACGTGTGGACCAAAAGCCGGAACAACCAAGAGTACCAGGTCTCATGGAAGAGGGAGGTCCTACTCGAGCGACTCGAGCGAGAACGGAGATTGGCCGCGCGCGTACGCCATGAGAGCAGCGAGGCCATGCGCAGGAACTTGCGCCTGTGTGCTCAACTACATGTGCTCCGTGCTCGTGCTCATGGGAAGCTCATGGGCAAGCACATCTTAATTCCACCCATGTGGTCTCGATGAAGGATATCCAGAGAGGCTCGTTGGGTACGTGGCTGCCGGGGGGGACGGTGGTCAGACTGAGCGCTGTACAGATTTAGCGCCTTTGGGATTTACAATGTGAGTGGCTCTTGTTATCAATCGGGGTTGCCTTATGTGCAAATGTGATGGTGTGCAAGCAGCCGATGTCAGATCAGTTCATGAAAATGATTCCACGTGCATTTGTCAGTTGTAGGTGGTGGTGGTGGTGGTGGTGGTGGTGGTGGTGGTGGTTACAGAGCGGTTTTGGGAGGGGAGTCGATGTTGATTCGTCATGTTTTGTTTTTTTAGCAGCTCCGCTTTTCGTACTGAACAGTGTATGTTGATGTTCAGTCGGTGCTACTACTAGCACTGCGAGCATCGTAGATGCCTGGGGGGGGGGGGGAGGACATGAGGCGTCACAAGGCCTTGAGGCGACCGCGCTGAGGTGATGTTGGGGGAAGTTAGCATTACATGAGTGATATAATACATACATTAGGCTTCGCTGCAGACTTATTCATTTCTTAGAGTTCACATGGGGTGGTCTGTGTGCACCTGCGGTCAGTCATGGTGGACTTCCACTGAAGAAAGCAAGCGAAAGACGCTCGCGAGATGCTCCGAGAAGCACGTGTCTCCTGCGGAGCTACTTCTTCCAGGAACGAGCAGTCGTATAGACAAATGCCTTTTCTTAGTGCTATCACACGCTGGCAATCACGGAACTCATTCAAAGCTTGTCGCTGAGCTGAGGTCCATGGGTGCTATTCATGTAGAAGTAGTTTACGGAGTGGTGTACGGTCGGGACCATCACAAAGGACTTCGCATAAAATCAAATGAAGTTGTGCATTACGGTGTGCGCCACCGCTGGTTTCACAGATGCCAACAGTACTTGGCAGAGGCTGGCCCGATCAGTTGGGTGTGGTTCCTAGAGGCCGACGCCTGCTTTCACATGAGCGGTGCAGACTTCCAGGCCCGTATCAAGGCAGTCCCGCAGAAGTACGATATTGCTTGGCTTGGGTGGCGCAAGATATGGTGCCAGAATTCCAAAGTTTCGTTTTATTACGATGTGCCTTTTGCACTTGAGGGCAGCCAAGCCATTGGTATGCGAAGGCGTGGGTTGCAGATGGTGTGGAAGGCTGTTTGTGAGGGACGTCAGTATAGACATTTTGATATCATGCTGTCCCAAAGGCTATTTGGCAAGTACTATTACGAGAGAGAGCCTGCTGTTTTGACACGCACACATAAGTCGATTATCTTTGGCAAGGGGGAGCTGAAGGTCAGGCCCGGCACGATTCACAAGAAGAAGGCAATGAAGGCTATCAAGGTTATGAATGCCCGGAAGGCTGTGAAGGTTATGAAGGCCATGAAGGAGTTGAAGGTCATGAGGAAGGTTATGAAGCCCGCGAAGAAGGTAAAACAGAGTTGGAAGTAGACATGGCGCCTTGGTTTTTCACCTGTTTCCTTTGTATATACAGGCGTACCAGATGACATGAGATCGTGTCCTGTCTTAAGACATGCGCGCGACGATGTGGACCAGAAAGGCGGGCCGGAGCCTTCTCGAGGAACGGGCTTGTTCCGGGTTGTACGATTTGTTCCGGGAACATTCCTTCAGAAAGAGCTTTGGCACGCTCGCATGGTTGTACGATTTGTTCCGGGAACATTCCTTCAGAAAGAGCTTTGGCACGCTCTCATGGTTGTACGATTTGTTCCGGGAACATTCCTTCACAAAGAGCTATGGTGTACGATTTGTTCCGGGAACATTCCTTCACAAAGAGCTATGGTTGTACATTTTGTTCCGGAACATTCCTTCAGAAAAGCTTTGGCACGCTCTCATGGTTGTACGATTTTTCCGGTAACATTCCTTCAGAAAGAGCTATGTTGTTGTACGATTTGTCCCGGGAACATTCCTTCACAAAGAGCTATGGTTGTACGATTTGTCCCGGGAACATTCCTTCAGAAAGAGCTTTGGCACGCTCTCATGGTTGTACGATTTGTTCCGGTAACATTCCTTCAGAAAAAGCTGTGTCGCGCTTTCATGGTTGTACAATTTGTTCCGGCAACATTCCTTCAGAAAAAGCTGTGTAGCGCTTTCATGGTTGTACAATTTGTTCCGGCAACATTCCTTCAGAAAGAGCTATGGTTGTACGATTTGTTCCGGGAACATTCCTTCAGAAAGAGCTATGGTTGTACGATTTGTCCCGGTAACATTCCTTCCAGATAGAGCTATGGTTGCACGATTTGTTCCGGGAACACTGCTGCAGAAAGAGCTTTGGCACGCTCTCATGGTTGTACAATTTGTTCCGGGAACATTCCTTCAGAAAGAGCTTTGGCACGCTCTCATGGTTGTACAATTTGTTCCGGCAACATTCCTTCAGAAAAAGCTGTGTCGCGCTTTCATGGTTGTACAATTTGTTCCGGCAACATTCCTTCAGAAAAAGCTGTGTCGCGCTTTCATGGTTGTACAATTGTTCCGGTAACATTCCTTCAGAAAGAGCTTTGGCACGCTTTCATGTTTGTACAATTTGTTCCGGGAACATTCCTTCAGAAAGAGCTTTGGCACGCTCTCATGGTTGTACGATTTGTTCCGGGAACATTCCTTCAGAAAGAGCTATTGTTGTACGATTTGTTCCGGGAACATTCCTTCAGAAAGAGCTTTGGCACGCTTTCATGGTTGTACGATTTGTTCCGGGAACATTCCTTCAGAAAGAGCTTTGGCACGCTTTCATGGTTGTACAATTTGTTCCGGAAACATTCCTTCAGAAAGACTTTGGCCGCTCTCATGGTTTTTTGTTCCGGGAACATTCCTTCAGAAAGAAAAACACAAAAAGCTGTGTAGCGCTTTCATGGTTGTACAATTTGTTCCGGCAACATTCCTTCAGAAAAAGCTGTGTCGCGCTTTCATGGTTGTACAATTTGTTCCGGCAACATTCCTTCAGAAAAAGCTGTGTCGCGCTGTATGGTTGTACGATTTGTTCCGGAACATTCCTTCAGAAAGAGCTATGGTTGTACGATTTGTTCCGGGAACATTCCTTCAGAAAGAGCTATGGTTGTACATTTGTTTGAACATTCCTTCAAAGAGCTATGGTTGTACGATTTGTTCCGGGAACATTCCTTCAGAAAGAGCTATGGTTGTACCTTCCGGGAACATTCCTTCAGAAAGAGCTATGGTTGTACGATTTGTTCCGGTAACATTTCTTCAGAAAAAGCTGTGTAGCGCTTTCATGGTTGTACAATTTGTTCCGGCAACATTCCTTCAGAAAAGCTGTGTCGCGCTTTCATGGTTGTACAATTTGTTCCGGCAACATTCCTTCAGAAAAAGCTGTGTCGCGCTTTCATGGTTGTACAATTTGTTCCGGTAACATTCCTTCAGAAAGAGCTTTGGCACGCTTTCATGGTTGTACGATTTGTTCCGGGAACATTCCTTCAGAAAGAGCTATGGTTGTACGATTTGTCCCGGGAACATTCCTTCACAAAGAGCTATGGTTGTACGATTTGTTCCGGGAACATTCCTGCAGAAAGAGCTATGGCACGCTCGCATGGTTGTACGATTTGTTCCGGGAACATTCCTTCAGAAAGAGCTTTGGCACGCTCTCATGGTTGTACGATTTGTTCCGGGAACATTCCTTCAGAAAGAGCTTTGGCACGCTTTCATGGTTGTACAATTTGTTCCGGGAACATTCCTTCAGAAAGAGCTTTGGCACGCTCTCATGGTTGTACGATTTGTTCCGGGAACATTCCTTCAGAAAGAGCTATTGTTGTACGATTTGTTCCGGGAACATTCCTTTCAGATATTTCAGATATTTCAGATATTTCATTGAAATGTTCAACACAATTGTAGATCATAGAGGTGCCTCTTGGCATATATATATATATATATACATATGCACACTATGTAATGGCTCTGGACCTAAAATTAATCCCCAAAGAATGCAACACGCAAATCAACGCACCACGAATTACAAACTAAGGGACGACCTTTCTCTTTGGGTTGCCCGTTCAAACCCAAGCACACGTGTTGTGATGTTTTGGGGAGTCGGAAGTACCGACTCAAACACTTTAACATTCCAACTGAATTTTCCACGGCAAAACAAGGTTCCCCTTTTTGACTACCCAAGATGGACTTAAATCCAGGGGTTCTCCTTTTGGGCTTTTGGGGGCGAATGAGCCACCCCTGCGTTTAAGTCTGCGGCAAAAGTGTTGCTTACGCTCCAAGGAAGCGCTTCTGCGCCGTGTTCCTTTTTTCAAGTCACCCAAGCGCTTTGCCAAAGCCCCACAACTCCCGCGCAAAAAAACGATCCCGCTCGATTCTGCCAGTGAGTCATTTGGATTTTTGTCTCAATCCAAGAAATGGTGGTTGTCCTTTTGGTTTCCCTTGAAAATCAGCCAAAAGAAGTTTCCCAAGAAGTTTCCCAAAAAAAGACAGACCCTTGTGATTTAGAGCCAGGGCTGTGGGAAATGACCACCTCTGTGATACAACAGGGAGGGCTTCCAAAGACTAACCTCCCATACAAAATCTGAAGATTCCCTTGTATCACAGAAGTGGGCTGTCCTCAGATCCCCCGCTAAAAATTCAACTCTTCGTGGGTTAAATGGGATTCCCCACTAGACACTAAAAGGCCAAAAAGCTAAGGGGATGGCTGGGAGCCACCAAGAGAAGTGGGGATAAGCCCGTTGATCCGGGATCAACCCTGTTCAACAGCAAGGGGCTTCGCCCCCTACCAAAGGGCAAGGCCGGCTCATGATCTTCCCAGTCCAGTCCAAGGCGCCGGAATGCAAGCCAGGCCGCTCGCTTGGAAACACGGCCTCACTCCTCAGTGAGTATTAAGCCATCACAAATGAGCCCAAAGCATAACTCGCGTCGCCCCACGCAACATTTAATGTGTATGTTACATGCCCCCTATGTTTTCATACTTTCATCACACAACAAACAAGAAGTGCAATGTTGCTTGTTCCTGCAATACTTGGCTCCATGCGGGTTCGTAAACTGGTTTGGGCATGCAACCCATGGAGCAACACAAACTCCAAGAGGCAGCTGCTTTTAGAGGAGCATTTAGGGCACCCCATCAGTATCAGTTCCATGTTATTGTTGTCCAACACACCAACGTCCAAACTAATCATGACTGGTACTGGCCAGGAGCAACTTACATCAAAGTGGCTGGATATAATGTGTTCGGTAGATGAGGTTTCTATCGAAGACCTGAAGGGCTAAACCGTTCTGAACAACTTCTGCTTCAAGGGCTCAAGCTCCGCAACTTAGAGCCCTCGGGCTCACTGTCAGTGAGCTTGCTTGATGCGTGTCTCAGTCCGCAATTTTGCATGCTACGCTTTGTGGCTACGAAAAAATACTGGCGGTTTATGTGTTTTCCCCAACAGCTGAAAGCTATGGGGTCTTTGCACAGAAATCGACCCTTTCGTTGGGTTTGGGGCAGCTACCGCTGTGACTGGCCAGCATGAACAAGACTCCGCCAAAGGCACGGGTGTCCCAAACGCTCAGCGGGAAAATGCGCCCATTTGGAGCATCCGCAAAGCTGTGTAACTTCCAATGGCTGGTGGCCGACTAGGGCAAGATTCCGGTTGGGTGACTTGCCCAAACAAAATGGGGCACTGCAGCCGCTGCAGCCCACCAACTTCTACTGCCGCGAAGAGACAAATACTTTTCTGGTTGCCTTCCCACTCATGCCAAACCCGCAACGTTTTAACGCATCCAGAGCGCCCGAAACGCCACAACGCCAGTTTTAACGCACCCAAGCCGCGCTTAACGCCTCCAAAACGCCTCCAACACGCACCACCCGGCTCACGTTCGGAATCGCGGGGCTGGATCATCTCGAGCCCCCGGAGGTTCAAGTTGGGCTGCGCCTGGGCGAAGTCCCCCGGGCCTCGAATCGAGCCATGCGAGCGCCATGGGGCGAGAAGGCGCCAGCGGCGGCGCTGGTTTGAGGTCAACGGGAGAAAACGGAGAGTCACGCGCCAAAATCTAGGGGTTGAGTCCTTGTCCATTCTTTTCAACCATGGTTCTTTCCAAGAACCGGAGCCGTTTCCTCCTGGGTTTTTGATGGTTTCCTGAAAAGAAGGATCCCGGGAAAGAATGGAAATGGAAAAACCATGATGCAAAATCCGGGGGAAAAGGGGAGGGGGATAGGAAAACCGAGATTCCCCGCCCACCACGAATCATGCACGCAAATACCGGGGGAAACGGGAACCAAGCCAAAAGGAAAACCACAAAGGGAGGGAAAAAGACAGGAGCGTTCCCAAAACGGGAAAGGAAATACCATGCCAAAAGCGGAGGGGGGATGTCAGGCAAAGGCGCCAAAGCTGCCAATGTCATCGTCTGCCGGGTCAAGGGCACCGAGACACCTCAAGGGCAAAGCTCTCACCGACCAAGCGGCAAAAAATAAAGCGAAAAAACAAAGAACACACACCAAACAACCAAACAGACCGACCGACCAACCAATCAACCAACCAATCAACCAATCAACCAAACAACCAAACGGCTGACCGAACAACCGACCAACCAACTGACCGACCAACCGACCAAACGACCAACCGACCAAACGAGACCAAGCGACCAAGCGAGCAAGAAAGCAAGCAAGCAAGCGAGCGAGCAAGCAAGCAAGCAAGCAACCAAAGAAACAAACAAACAGAAGCAGCAAGAAAAGACGAATAAGCAAAAGTGAGAACAGCAACAGCCGGGCACAAGCCGCCCTGATATCACCAAGAAACCCCTGCTTGATGCTGCAACTCGGCCCAGCTGACGCCAGCAATGCATTTGAGCGATTTCTTTCGAGCGAATGTCTCTTTTGGAGGGTCTCTTTTTGGTGGTTTCACAGGAAAGCTCAAAGAAACACCAATTGAGGAGTCCAACCTACAAAAAGACGAGCCACCTACATCCATGGGGTCCATCTCTTCCTTCTGGAGGCCACAAGCGAGCACCGTACCATGCATAGAAGCAGTCAAACTTTTGAAACTGCTGCCGCTTGCCTATGCTGGCAGTCCAACAAAGGGTCCAACCAATACACAGCACGCAAAGAAGGGACATATGGAAATGGAAGCCGAGCTGCAGCTTGTACCAGATCTTGCGCAAGCGAGTCGCAGCACAACTGAGGGGCCTCAGCATTGGAATCTCCGATTCTAGGCGTCCTTGCGACTGAAGCCAGGGCCATCTTTTTTTTCAGAGCAAACCCACAAGGGAGGTGTGGGTTTGTTACAGTGTCCAGGATATTCGGAGCCACTTTATGAAAGAAACCTGGTATGAATCAGTCAACAGGAGGCGTCCACGTTCCAAAGAGATACTCTGCACACACACACACACACACACACTGCGTTGTTCAGAGCGTGGCGCCGTGATACCGCCAGGTGTTGGCGTGGCTGTAAATTTCGGGGCTCTCAGACTTTAGAGGATAGTCCGTCCGGTCCGCAGGCAACCCATGGGGGGCTGTCCATACTTCTACGTTGCTTCCAGCAGATCACAGAAGCGCGATCAACTGTCTGCAGAAAGCGTTGTCATAGCAAAGAAGCGACGGCGCTACAAAGGGAGCTGCAGGCGCTGCTCGGGCTTCCCCGAATGGTTGATCAGGGTTTGAACAGAGGTGACACATGAGAAATAATTCTGGGCTACTGATCAGGGACGCCAAAGGAAATTAGAACTAAAATGTGTTCCCTTGGGCTTGGTCCATTCGAAGCTCAAAAGCACTGCTTCTCGGAACGAACCCCTTGAGCATTTGCAGGACCAACAAATCTAGAAACCGGAGATTTAGAATCGAAGTGAAGGGGCGGCATTCCCGGAAAAATGGTGGTGTTGCAAGCTTGACCCCTCCCTCCCGTGAGGTTCCCGGCTGCAGGTCCCGCCAACGGTTGGAGTTCTCCTTGAGGCGAGTGAAGAAGTCTGGCTGGCTGTCTTCCTGGAAGCGGACCCAGGAACCCACTCAGCTGAGAAGAAAACCAGCCGGCAAGCGCTCCAGAAGTAGGGGGACCTTGATGGTGGGGCAAAAGGCAAGACGAAATACCCTCCCACCAGCTAACATGGGTTCGTGCACAGGCCGTAGAAAGACTACTTTCCTCTTGGAGTCTTGCCTTTTTGCGCTTCCATGTTACTTGGTGGGAGGGTGCCAGGAAAAAAACCACCTGGAATCATGGATGAGCTTCTCATCCTTGAACATGTTCTAGCACATGACAACGAGCTTTCCCCATGTTTTTCCACCTCTTCTCAAACCCCTGGGCCCGCCCTTCAGACGCAGCCCAGGTCCTCCCAGGTGTGCTGGTCCCCGTGCCCCTTGCGCACCAGGTTGGTCTTGGGGGAGGAGCCGTTCACCTCGCTGTCCGCTGGTCCCCGCGGTCCCCGCGGAACCGGGGAACCGGGGCGCGAAAAAAACGGGCGGACGGGGATTTCGAGTGGCAGGTAATCCTGGGTGTGACACCAATGTGGGCCATCCCCAGAAACTGCTGTATCACTACTGTCGTAATCACAGAAACTGGCCAGTACAGACCTATGCTTTACAAACAATGGGATGGTTCAAAAAGACCACCCAAGGACGGAAGCACACCAAAAGACGGAGCCTGAAACTTGCTGCAAGGGCCTCTGCTTGAAAAGCAGACTCTCCAAACGGCAAAGGTATCTATGCCTTGTTCGACTCCCGGGAGGGCTCAGCAGATGAGACTTGACGAGGGTGGCTTGGTCCAAGACGGCACAAGAACATCAGCGTCCACATGCAACGTGGCAGTGGCTTCTGGAAGCACAAGTAGGCCCAAAGAACTTCAAGCAGTGTGTAATCAAGTGGGTAAACCCAACTCCAGTGCCACGTTCTTCAAATATGGACACTCGCAGCCCTTTGCCCAAAGCTTCCTCTCACTTTCCTAGCCAAAGACCTTCAAGCGACTCAATCCCAGTACATCTCATATGGCAGCTAGCAGCGGACTAAGCTCGCTGAGTTCACACGGCATGTTCCATGATGTCCTTTCCGGTCGGGTTGCAGCCCGAAAGGAAGCCGGCCAGGTTCAACTCTTCTGGCCAAAACAAAAGTATGTCCCAGTGACTTTGAAACCAAGGGAAAATCAAGTCATACTGTGGATGGACAAAATCCTGCACCAGCTAAGAAACCCTGGAATGTAAATACCAACAAACGATGGCTTCCCACAGTTTCAAAGTGGTGCAGGATTTCGTCCATCCACAGTATGCTTAAGCAAATCGAAGCTGACCTGATGCTTCCCATTTCTGGCCTGGGACATGGTGGACTCCCGCGTGCGGTTCAAGACAGGCTTGGAGGTTGCGCGCGAGCCTCCAGGGCGGGGGCAACAAAAACCGCGGCCTGACGGCCTGAGCGACCGGGGTGCCGTGGGGTGGTGTGGGATGGTGTGGGATGGTGGGTGAGGTACCCGAGAAACGCAGCAACAGTCTTGACATGTCTTGAGCATTCGGAGTGGTCGCTAGGCGTTTCTCGCCGAACAGCCTCCACATACACATCGGGTGTTGGGTCCGGCTTTGCCGCACCAACCCATTCAGGTTCTCTCAATTGATATGAGGCTCACAAGAAACCCCGAACAAGCAAGCGTTGTCTTGCCAGCTTCATTTTGGCGGCAAGTTCACAGTGTCCCCCAATCCGACCAATTCAATTGTGACATGCAATTACCCTCCTGGGTCCTAACCCTCCCCCAAAAAAGGGGTTAAAAAGGGCACCTAGCTGGCACCTAGCTGGGGAACCTAGCCTCTTGTCTCTTACTCCAACTCTTGGGCCGAGATACGCTTCACAGCGATCACCGCCTCCGGCAAGGAGCTGGCGATGACAAAAACGCGGTCACCCTCCTGTGCAAGGAGCGCACGCGGCAGCCAACAACTGCAAAAGCCCTAAGCCTTTGCTCGTGGCTTCCGTTATACAAACGCCAGGATGGGGTCTCGCTAAGCGTGATGCATTTGAATGGACCTTCGCATCGCTCAAAGGAAGCTGCAAACAAGCCAGATACAGAGCCCATTGCCCCTTCTGAGTTAATCTGTCAAACCTTTGGTTCAATACTGTGGACGGACCAAATCCTGCACCACTTTGAAACCATGGGAACTCATTGTTTGTTGATGTTTACAGGGGAATCATCATTCCAGGGTGTTATGGTTTGCAAGATTTCGTCCATCCACAGTATTCGGTTCATTTTCGGGGCACCCCCAAGCATGGGGCGCTTTTCCTCATGGTTTTTGCCCAAACATCAGCCACACGAACCGCTCCAACGCGGTTCGTGCCCCTTCCGCACCCCTTCCGCGCCTGCAGATAGGTCTCCTCCGAGCCCGGGAACAGCAGCAAGCGGCTCCGGCGCTGGCGGCTCATGGTGGAGCTCGGGGTGCCAGAGCCGTCAGAAATCGTCCGCTTCACCGCGATCAGCAGGATGCCGTGGTGCCTCACACGAACCTTCCAACCTTCCGGAAATCGGCACTCAACGATCTACCGCATTTTTTTTGCAACGTTGGAGAAAAAACTGGTCTGTGCCTATTCGCAGGGAATGAGAAATGAACATGGGGATTCCCTTAAGGGAAACCACAGGGGATGGTTTTTAGGGGTCATTCCATTTCTCGTTACCTGCTGAGCACCAGCAAGAAAAGGAACCTTCCAGAAATCAGCGCTCAAGATTTAAAGAGCCTGTTGCACCGTTGGACAAATTGAGCTGCAAAGCTTTCATGGTCAACAGCTAAATTTAAGGGATCCCCAAGTAAAGGACCTTTATCATGGCGAGATCGTTGTACCCCCGAGCTCGCTATATTGTAGGCAGACTGGTGTGGCGCAACTTCCCGAGCAAGAAAGAAGGAGCGGGCGAATAATACACAGCTTGACAGAGCCGGGGCCACGCAAAATGAATGGGCTCTACCGATGAGGTGGCCTGGGCAATGGCGGACCACGAACAACCTCCCAACCCCTGCCCCAACTCCACCCCCACCTCCCTCACCTCCACCGCCACCCACACCCACCAGCTAATAGTGCCCAAGGTTTTTTCGCATCCCCTTGGCTTGCTGACTGCGCTGATCTTTTTCTTCTGCTCTTCGGCGGTTGTGATCCTATCTCCTGAGACCATGGGGCGAGTTTCCCCGGGAAAGACTCCGCATCCAAGCAGCGGATCCTGACATGAAATACACCTGAACATTGCAACTTGTACATGGTGGCTTCCCTTTATTTTGGTGGAAAAGGCCATGTTTTTTTTTAAATGGGCAACATGTACCTTTTAAGGAGCCCTGTGAGACCATGGGGCTTTTCCTGGAAAGACTCCGCATCCAAGTCACTCGTAGAGGTGATAGGCCGCCTCCACGATGGTTTGGCCACAAATCCCGCTGTGCCTGAGGCCAAAACCGCAAAAACAAGCAGCCTCAAGATTTCGAGGCGGCAAACAAACCCCTGACCTGCCCGATCACTCCGAGTGAACCCTGGACGTGGCCCTTCGCTCCCCCCTTTGCCCAAAAAAAAGAAGGATAAATTCGCTGAGGTCGGAATTCGGCTGCTCCGAAGCGCCTGTGCACGCTGCAGTGGTAGATCTCTTGTCGAGAGCCCCGGTGATAAAGGTCGAACCAACGCCTCAGCTGAAGGGACTGTTTCTGCCAGGGGCCACACGCTGAAAGTGGTCTGGAGTTGGAAGACCCCCCCCCACAAAACAAAAAAACAAATTTCACCTCCCCTTGACCGCCATTGAAGAAACCATGGGTCCCAGACATTCAAATCACCAGCATGTAGCAAAGGTGGCGCCGAAGTCGTGTCAAATACCACCCAGTCTTGGCAAGCCATGCCAAAACCAAACACATAAATGGCAGCCTGGTCGATCCGTCTAGTGTATACATCACGAGGGGAGTGCAGCGCATCTCTGCCACTGAAACAAGGGCGCGCTCCATTCGTGCGAACGCATATGGCTGTGGGTCAAAACCCTGTACCCCTGGTGAACATCAAAATAGGTGGTACATGGGTGTTCATCCGCCCCAAATTGGAGGCATAGGTTATGACCCATGGCCATATATGTGCGCAAGGCCGAGTTCTCTCCGCTTCCAAACAAAACTGCTGGTGACAGCTTCAGTCTTCGCGGCTGGAGCCGGGCAGCGGATCTTACAAGGCCAAAGCTCGAGGCTGACCCCCCAAAAAACCCCCCAAAACCCCCGGTTGCTTCAGGGGCCCTAGCACGCATGGAAGCTGGCAAATGCATGCCTTATGCTAGACCATTCCCTACAAGGCAGTCTTCCCTGCTCTCTCTGGGCGGCAGCTTCTAAGTCAGCGGTATCGATCCGGCTGTCAGGCCTTCAACGCGAATGCGAGGTGCCCCCAAAGAAAGAAGAAGAACCCACCCCAACAGCACCTCAAAGCATCTCAAAGCCTTTTCCCTTGGCCCCCAAAGCTGCCCGGACTTTCCCGAAGGCCCCGGCTTTGACTGGCCCAAGAAACTCCGTCTTGGTGTCGTAGTCGTGGCTGGTGGTGTGGCTCACCAGGTTCAGCACCTCATTCGACACATGGGTGGATCGGCTATGGGGGGGATCCGTTAAGGGGAGCCCCTGGGTTCATGTGTTGAACCACATGGGACAACCTCCATCAGCTATGGTTTCCTTTAAGGGGAGCCCCTGGGTTCCGCTGGGTTTCCGCAAGACCCCAAAAGGGTGCGTGCCATTTCTCCTTCCCAACTTCGGGGTTTCCGAAATCGGGAATCCCAACTTCGGGGTTCCACTGGGGAAGTTTCCTTCAACCGAAACGGTTCATTCCATGGTCTGAGGGTCTGAGGCTCCGAGGGTCTGAGGGTCTACGGGTCTGAGGGTCTGAGGGTCTACGGGTCTGAGGGTCTGAGGAGGCTCCGAGGGTCTGCACGTTTGAGGATTCCCTGTCGCACCAGCAAGAATCGAGCGTGGCCTCTTTGAATGCCGCAAAGTCATCCGCCGGACGGCTCATTTTAGGCGGAAACCAGGCATCAACTTGGCCAAGCGCACGGCTCTAAGCGCAGGGGTGTAGAATTTCATTGGTCCGCTGGATCTCCAGGCCATGTTCCAAACATACCGGAAAGGTATCAACGGTGACTGCTGAGAAGAATTGCCTGGCGAGTTTCTGAGCCAATGAATCATGGCGTTTCAGCAGTTGGCCTGTATATTTTCCGGATGACTGCTTGACAAACACTGACTGCAGCATAGCTATCATCTTTCCTCAATTCCTTATTGCTTCAATCCGTACCTCCTTCAACGCATCAACAAAAACGGATACTCTGAAAACTCTAGCATTGCCCCAACTCTAGCATTGCCCCGGATGCTTACCTACACGACATTCTACACAACTCTGTCGAATGTGAAATGCGATTTCAAATGCAAATTACGCATTCAAACGGCAACTGCACATGGCATGAGTTTGACTGCCGTAATTCAAACACGATTTGCACATCGAACACCAACAAACACGTTTCTACCATGCTGGATTCTTGATGCCTTCTTTCTGACACGTCTGTGTCGTGCACCCAACCTCAAAAAGCGCTGCTTCGAATATGCGAGACTGAAGGGTGCCCGGTTCAATTTAGGCCTTTTCCCTCAGCTTGGTGTTGGTGTCCCATCAAACTCCTCGAACCCTGCGAATGGCACTCAACATCGCCTCTCTGCGAATGGCACTCCTGTACTCTCCGAACAAATCGCGGGCGCACTGTCTGATGCTCATGGGTGTGTGTTCAGGGGTTTTCAGGCACTGGTGGGGCGACATCCCATATTAAGTGGGCAGGAGGAAACCTCCGCAGGTCATGGCGAGGTGTTCCAAATCAATGCCCAAGAAAAGTGCAGAGGTGAGCTTCGAAAGTCAGAAATCAGATCCGTGTACCACTCATTCTTTTCGAACCTTTTTTGTTTATGGTGGTTCTTCTCGACGCCAAGAAGCAGGTCACATGTCAAAGTCCACGAGAACAACGTAAAGGATCATGTATGCCGGTATTGGGTGTGAAGGTTGAGCCTTCAAATGGTTGCAATCTCGGCGCACATCTCGCAAATGGTTGCGCGTTCATCCAGTGCAACACAGCACCGCATTCAGCAAAAACACCGTGTCAGGTTGCTCTTGCGCCCATCAGTTGGAAAAGAATGAGTGGCACACAGATCTTTCGAACTTTTGCAGCTCTACAAACTCTTCGAACTTCCGCAGATCACAAACTCTTCGAACTTTCGAAGCTCACAAACTCTACCTTCCCTTGGGCATTGATTTGGACCACCTCTTCAACCCTTCACTACACAGGGGATGTAGTGAAACCCCACCATTGGCTGCACCTGTGGCAGGTTGCACTTGACCCAGCAGTTGGAAAAGAATAAGTGGCACACAGATCTTTAACAAACTTTCGCGGCTCACAGACTCTACCTTCCCTTGGGCATTGATTTAAGTTCCACCTCTTCAACCCTTCCAAACCACTCACCAACCATAGGGGGATGTCGCCCAACCAGTGCCTGAACCCGTGTCAGGTTGGCACTTGCACCCATCCGCCAACCCCCAACCCCTACCTCGCCAAACCCCAACCCCAACCCCCAACTCGCCAAAACCCAACCCCAACCCCCAACTCGCCAAAACCCATCCACTTGCCCCAACCCCCACTTGCACCCATCCGCTGGAAACCCAAACCCCACCCCAACCAACTCGAGCGCCGCGGCGCCATGGTGGCCAGGCCCCGGTGCATCGCCGAGCCCGCCAGCATGGCGGCCGTGAGCTCACCGATGACCTGAGTGGCCCCGTCCCGAAAGGAGTCAACCAGGAGGGCTGGGGGGGTCCCCAAAGACATTCCTCTGGTCTTCCCATGAAAAAGGAGAATGGAACCACAAATTTGGAGATCTCCAGGGGCTACCCCTTCCCCCAATTCCATTTTTAAGTAGGCAGAGTCCACCGGCGCAGCGGGGGATCATCTGTCGCAATGCGTGGGCTCTTGTCCTCACTCAGACAGCTCACGCACTGCCCACTGCGCCGCGATGCAAGCACCACGCGCCAATCTGAACTGCTCTCGCTAGAGCCAGCCTATTTCATTGCGAAGGCTTCAACGAAGGCTTAAGTCACCTGTGTCATTGCTTCCTTCACCCAAGGTTTAAGTGCCACCTACGCGACATCTGTTGCAGCGTCTGAAGGAGGCGTGCATTGCAACAGAGGGTGACCCACACTTTCACATGCAACTCGGCATCAAATAGGTTTTTTGCGCAAGCCCGATAAATCTGGAAACCGCATTGGCAGCATGATGCATGAGGATACGTAGTGTGCTATAGTGGACACCTTTCAAGGTGCACATTTCTCTAGGCTGTTTGACGCAAATAGTTGCTGAACAAACTTGTCCCTCCGGCCACTGTGTACCGGTTCACTCTTCTGCGACAAATCCATGAAGGCGCAACGACGGCTTACCCTGGCCGAACAGCGACATGCCCAACCATATGTCTAGCGACTTCCACAAGCAGTGCAGGCAGAACTGCGGAAACGAGGCACTGTGCATACCAATCAACTAAACCTATACGAAGACTCCAAAGAATTTCGCTGATGCCCTGTTACGACTCAAGTTCTCGTTTGGATTGCGTTGACTCATCAAGGCAAGGTTGACTCAGACTTCTTTGAACAGGTATGTGGATGCGGGATGGGTCATGTCCGGATGTTGCTCCTCAAACAGCTTCCTTTCAGCCTACATTGTCAGTCGGTTGGCTCAAAAATCAAACAAGCACATGAAACCCATGCGGCTTGTCTTTTTCGAGGGTACCCAATTCTTTGTGGCTTTTTGCGGGCAACCAAAAGGACCACTGAAATCCATTTTGGCTCCGACCTAAACCAAAGACAGGCCCACGTCTGCCCACTCCTCGAAAAAACGACGGGCCAGGCCCTGAGGCTCTGGCCAGGCAAAGGTCATGGAATTTGTCCCAGCCGGGCATGCACACGATCCGGTCCCTCGTCTCCGGGGTCAAGACCTCCGTTTTTGTTTTTGTTTTTTCCCCGAAACCTTCGGCTTGCATCCATGGGCTTTTTCGTCCCCTTCAAAAAATAATAATATGTCCAGTAGTGATGGCTCGTATTTCTCCTTTCCAGTCGTGATGATAATAATTTCCTCTTTCCGGTATTTCTTATTTCCAGTAAGATCAAAAGAAGAACATAAATATATATATATATATAACATATATATATATATATATATATTTGTATATATTCCTAAGCAAATGGAAGCTTGCGGGTCACGGCTAATGTTCGAGCCCTCTGGTAAGATTGTACGCCTAGCCCCTCTTGTAAGATTGACTGCGCTCAATGGAGCGGAAAAAAGATCGGCCGTTGCCTCGGGTTGGAATGATATGTCCCAACTGCTGTCTGCTCTGGACTTCACCCCATCTCCTGTATGGCTCTAAGTTGTCATAAGAAACCCCTCCCAAATGGTTGCAAATCCCCTAAATGATGTCCGCCAAGAGGTCGGGCTTGAAGGGATGCCAATGTGGAGGCAATCAACCCAAACCAACAGAACCCGCCGGACCAGACAGCTTCAGCCATGCCATTCCCATAGAAAGGTGGCAGATTGAGCATCCACTCATTTCTATTGATTTGCGTTGCTAGAAACAGTTGAGTGTGAAGCCATGGTGAAACAAGGGCTTCAGGGGTGAGCTACCGCTATTGATTGAGGCAGTTGCAACTCACAAGGCTGCAGTGGCTGCAGTGCTCGCTTGCAATTTCTTCAGCCACTCGCTCCACATATCTTACACCTCCCATGTTTACAACAGGAATGTGCAGCCTCAAAGGACTCAGCCAGCCTGCGCGAGTACTCGCAGCCGCCGACGCCCCTCAAAGGCCCGGGTTCTATGCAGCTGCCTCGGCTCCGCCAGCCGGGAAATTCTTGGTGTGCTCACCAAATGCTCCACAGCTCCAAGTACACAGGTTTGTGGACTGTCTGCGCAGCGTTTCCCAGCACAAGACTTCCAACATGCTGGGAGAGCCCAGGATTCATGTCGAAGCTAGGGAACCCTGGTCCAAACTTTCCAAGTCACGCATTCTTGAAGGCCTTGCAGGATAGGACGATGGACGCCACCTGCCCGGAATGTTCCCCAAGGACGGCAGCCTCGTTCCAACGTGAGAGTGGACGGGAGTTGCTTAACGACTTTGAATAGAAATAGTTTGGCAAAACGATCGCAACTCTTGGAATAGAGTTCTCCTGATATTGCCCAATACCGAAGGGCACCAAAAGGGAACAAGGATTGATTGAGTGGCTGGCATGGTCAAGACAAGTCCCATATGAGCTCCCTCAAATAAGTGCGTCGTCTTGCAAGTATGGTGCACTTCCAAATGTCGCGTGTGCAATTCCATCCGACTCGGGCGTTTTTAGGGGCGTCTTTTTGCTTCACATTCTGTGGATGACTGACCATCTTAGCAACGAACATGTCACAGCTGGCGGAGAGGACAAGAGTCCGCACCGTGCAGAGGGCAGAAGTCCAAAAAGGATGGGAAAGAAACTGGAGCCCCGCTCTCAAAATGATCCGCCGCAGCTTTTCCAGGCCTGAGTGTCCTGCCACTCCACATCTGTCGGATACTTGCCTTGCATGCGAGGCTTCTTGGACTTGGTGGACTTGGTGATCTATGATGAGCTTTGGGGTGCGTTCAGAGTCGGCTTTGGAGTGTCTAAGACTCCATGGGATCAGGGCAATCTTAGAGTTCTACTTAGGGTTGAGCCGGGATGCGTTGGGAAACCCGTGGATTGCTGTCCGAATGGCGTGCTTGCCAGCACACTTCCATGCCTGAACAACTGTAACATACAGTACTTCAAACACTTCTGAACATAGTTGGCGGCACCCGTGCCACTGGAAGTGGAAATAAATCGTCCAGCAAAATGGACCGCCGTGTGCCTTCTTGCCAGCTGGCTCGCCCAACTGCCTGTCTGCCTGCCTGTCTCCCTGCCCTTACACAGCCGACAAATCCTGCAACACCCAGTAATCACGAACCATGGCAGAAACATACCCTCTGAAAGCACCCCAACGAATACCATCCCTGCTCCCGTTGAAGTTCCATGCCAGCTCCACGCGCTCTTACCCACCTTCGCTCTGCTCCTGGTTGAAAAGCTAATTGTGCCCTGCCTAGCAATGACAAATGGTGTTTCACACATCAAGCAACTGCATTGGCTGCCCCAGTTTACCAAAACATTCTCCCAATCCCAAGCAATCAGAAAACCGCCCAAACCAAACGCGCCGACATGCTGCTCAGTAGAAAATGAGGGAATTAAACCATTTCGGGGATTCCCGAAGAAAAAGGACTCCCAAATCGGAAATGGATGTGTTGTAAAAAAACATAAAACAACTCGGGGGCATGAGCCAATTCTCTGGCCCCTGCCTCTCTGGCACCCATCGCCCGCCGGATCTCCATCCCCCCCTTGCTCCGGATCCGTCTCCATCCGATCCGTCCAAGGCACAGGCGAGCACCAGCACCGCCATGGCCTCGTGCAGCTTCGCCCGCGCCAGGTCCTTCTCCGTCTGCGGGGAGCCCTGCTCGATGTGTTTTTTTGCCGTGCGCCGGTTGGGGGGCACAAAAAGCGAAGCAACACCAACACCAGTTGGCCGGTCTTTGGAACCTTTCTGATGTGGATGGGCCAGAAAAACGTCGAAGAAGTTTGTGTATGCCACTAAAATGGTCCAACCCCTTTAAAAAAAAAAAAAAAACGACTAGAGTCCATGAGCTCAGGTCCAAAGAATCGCAGCTCCAAAAAGCCGGTCACAAGGTTTGCAGAAACATCACCGGCCTGAATGTACTGCACGTGCCCGGTGTAGGCTGGGTGGCCCAGCAGGTCCAAGATCCTGAGTTCGGCTGACCCATCCATTGGAAATCCCATGGGTTCGGGGTGCAAGGTGCCTCGAGGTGAGTGGTAAGTCATGCTCAACCAAGTTTGCGTCCCTTTGCTTCGAGTCTCAGCCGTCTTTTTCGAATCATGAGCTAGCTGAAGGCGTGCACATCCTACAAGTGCTTGGAGAAACGCTGGCTCCAAAGCTAATCATCCATGAAGTCGCCTGGGGGATTCCTAGCCCAAGGGCATATCTTGAGACAGCCACTGCACGGCCCACATCTCTTGGTGATCACACTTTCATCCAACTGGAAGCCCAGGGCAGTTCTGTCCTCTGTCCGCCATTTTTAAACTCTCCGCCCGCTTGGTCCCCAGGTTTCTGGTTGAACATCCCCAGGTTTCTGGTTGAACATCCCCAGGTTCCTAGTTGAACATCCCCAGGTTTCTGGTTGAACACGGTCCGTTTTTTGGGGGCATAGCTCGATCCTTCGCGCCGCTTTGGGCAGGGAGCTGGTGGTCTGGAGCGGCTGGTGAGAGGATGACAACGTCGCAGGGCCGCACAGGACCTCGATCTGGATGGTAGGCCTCCCAGACGGTGCTTCCAAGAGCTGAAGCCACCGGGGAGTTCTGAGGCGACACCTGTCTCTTTAGCCCCGTGTCCAACAGGCCCGGTTGCATTGACAAGAAACAGCGAGGAAGGGGGTCCTAATGATGATGCACGGCCACGCCCTTGAACCTCCCAAGAAACCAACAATTGGAGGACATCCAAGAGCCAAGTGGGGCAGGTTGGCCAAATCGGGAAAGGACACAGCGGCACTGTCTGGAAGCTGTCAAATACGCCTCAGAAAGTCGGCCGATTGAGGTGCGCACGCAGGCAACCAAGAAGCGCCAGAACCGACGACGTGATGAAACCTATCTGATCAATGAAGTACTCGGATATTGCTGTGAGAGCTGTTGCCTTCCCAACTTTGGTGACGAGGGGGGCTCACACAAAAGACCGTAAGACACCCGCTGCTGGATTTCAATTGTCAACTGGTCAGGGCCCAGCACCATGCTTGAAGCTTGGTCGCTCCGGTCTGTGTTGCCAGGATGGCTCATTCTGCCCTTTGCACCAATAACCTCGCCGCATGCCAAGCAAAAGTTTGACACCGCCTCGTAGAGCAAAAGATTGAGCACCGGAAACTCGATGTGGCCCATGATGACCTTGTGAAGTGTTTTGCACACTGTTTTTGCGGTGTTGTGAACGTGGCTTCCGCAAGCGCGCTCGTGCAGGTATGCCGGTGCGGGTGCGCTCGTGCAAGTGCGCGCTCGTGCGAGTGTGCTCACGCAAGCCTGCCTGTGCAGGTTTGCTCGTGTGAGTGCGCTAGCAAGATTAGCTGGCAGTTTTTGCCGGAAGAGACCTCTGCAATGATTTCGGTAGAAAACGCTAGCGCAGTAAGTTTGCCGGCTAAAATACTTAAGCAAGCCAAACTCGCCTCGGCCCCCAGGCCGGGAAGCGGTCAGCCCCTCTTAGATCATCGGGATCTCCCCCTTACCCGTCCCACGCAGCTGTGAAAGCCCCAGCGCAGGCGCCGGGCAACTGGCTCGTCCGACCCATGTCGCAAATCCATGCTCCAAAATCATCCAAATCCATGGTTCTTGGCGGCCTCAAGTGCGGCAACTCCAGCCCCGGCCTCGGGCTTCGTCCGGGTAGCCCGGCCCCTTGCCCTATAGACTGCGGCTTGTGTTCTAGGCTTGGGGCCACATAAAACTTGGAAACCAGCTCACGCATTTCGGCGCCGACTCACTCACTCTGAAAAACAACACTTCAAGGCAACCAAAGCACACTGATTACTTCAAAGCCAACCAAGCACAAGTACCTAAGCTGGTTCAGTCTGTTTGAGTTAGGGAAGTTATCTGGTTGATGTTGCTCAGACTTGGAGGCGAATAGCAAAAGAGTCAGCTTCAGTAGGTACTCCCCCTGATGTGCGCCGAGTGTGGGTGGAGGAAGCAGCACAAAACCATTTGCTCCCCCAAAGTCCGCAAACGGCTCACCGGCCAAAATCGCTGCGAATGAGGTCGATTCCAACACCCCTCCAAAGGCGCTCTACCACCCCTTCAATTTCTGCATGATCACATTTGGACACGGCGAAGCTTCGGTGACTCTGATCAAGTTGCACACCAGGAAAGCTCTGCCTCCTGCCACAACAGCATGCCTGGAGAGTGAGAAGCAAGCACCCACCAAACAACAAGTTCAACCCCCCCCCCCCACCGCCCCACACCGGCGCATAAGGCCGGATAAGGCCGGGCAACGATGTGGGAATCGCTCATGCGATGGTACGTGGTCCGCATGGCGTAGGGATCTCTCTGCAGCGCCTCTCAGGGAGCGGATGCCATGCACCCCTTTCGTGGCCAAGGAAAAACACATGGTGCAAGGCTGTGGATATGGCCATGGGTCAAACTCCCGTAGTGAACATCCCAATCCCCATTAAAATACACTAAAATGGGTGGTGCACCTACCCCAAAATGGTACCATTGGTTTTGACCCACAGCCATGTGTGTGTGTGTGTGCGTCTGGTGAGTTGGCCATGCAACATGAGCCGCGGACAATACTGCTCGCTCCACCCATTTCTGTGTGAACAAGTCGGGTAGCTCTGATTTTGTGGGAAGTCGCATGGCACTCGAAGTCCTCCCAAAAAAGTATGAACTCATGATTCTACTACACAGACTTGATGCTGGGGACCAAGCTGCGATAGGACTAGAAGAAGCCAGCCTTGCAAGGCTACTGAGGCCATGCAATCCCCTCTCCACAGATGACATGCAAGGAGCCACCAAAGAATTTCATCAAAGGTTCACAACAGTGAGGAGAGTCAGTGGCTCTGACCAGCTGACGAATCATGCCCTTGATGCTCAAACAGTGGTTCACCTTTGTTCCGGAAGTACCGTGGTGCTAAGGAGTGCCTGGGACTCACTGCATGCTCTCAAAGACAAACAATTGAACATCACTAGGGTGTCAATGTACTTCTTTATTTGTACACTTTCCAACATGTGTTTTTCAAATATTCCAAACGCTGTTCACTGTGAGATGACATCGCGGACGCCCGGACACGTGTGCCACCTTCAGGCTATGGCCTTGATTTCACACCAAAAAACACACACACACACACACATGCCGAGCACTTGCAGAACGAGTAGCCTGGATTGAGGAAAAACCATCAAGCAGTTGGAGACTCAAACCCGCCTTCTGACTCACATCGCGGCTTCGAGGAAAAGTCAAAACAAGCTGGCAACGAATCCATCTAAGTTCCACGCCAATGATGCTGTGCCATGTGGGATGTTTCTGACAAGTACCTTTGCTTTGCTTCAAAAACAGTCTCTGTGAATATATATATATATATATGTACATGTATACATATATATATATATAATACATGTCATTGTTGCCTTTGAAGTACAAAGACTTCAGGGTGCCCTCATACGCAGAGAGCATTTCGCACAACATGAAGACGCCATTCCCGCCTTCAAAATGGAAGCCGCTTGCCAGGGGATGATAATGAACGCAGCAGTCACCACCACAATCAGCAGCAAGTGGCCCCCAGTCGTGGCAGGTTCAATACCTTTCGGAAAAATCCCGCGAAGACGTCGGGGACGAACTAGACACACCCAACTGTGAATTGTCTTGCTTCAAGTTGCTGTCACCACCCTGGAAAACCAAACCACAATGGAACCGCTTGGGGTGTGTCCTCAAAATAGGGACCCCAAAATGGGTAGGGAGTCCCTTGGTTTTGATTTGAAACCAAGCAACAACGTGCAACCTCCAAAAGACACACACACACACATGCGTTGCTCCGTATAGCAGACATGTTGGACCTGCATGGTACACTCTGTCATCTTATGCTAAAGTGTTGACCGGGCATCTCTTGTGTAGAGGTGGTATCATAGTTCAAAGCGCGAATCCATGCTACAAGGGTTGTATTGGACTGGACAATTCAACAGGATACCGAAAGGCAATAGTTAAAACCACCGAAAGGGGGACATATTGGGAAGCCTCTGCTATCCCTCGCAAGCGTACGGCGAGCGGCCCTGATTGCCCTCCCGTGTTCAACAATCCTCACTGTCCCTTCAAAATGGAGCCATCTGGCTGTGGCCCAAAAATAGGTACCCAAAATGAGGAGACATGGACTAAAATCTGCGGTCCCCTGGTGGTTTAATTTTGACCCACAGCCATCTGGACAAATGACCTCGCAACCTCACAAAGGGTCTTCTTTGCGACCCCACGAAGCCACCCTTGCAGGCAAACTTGAGCTGTGTTCTGCTCATTGCATTTGCAAGCTGCAGCGGCACCGATGTTTTTTTTGGGCCCCACAATCCATACTGCGTACAACCTGTTTCCGGGGATCAGCGAAGAAACATCTACGGTCCGCACGCCATATGGTGCACCAGCTATGATCTTGTCGTTCGGGGCTATGACTAGCTTGAACCAGGTCTGAGCACAAGCCTGGGAGCATAAGGAGGCTCTCAATAACCAGCACCCCCCCCCCTTCCGGCTGTTGTTTCCCCCTTTCGCCCCGGAGAAAAAAGAAGAAGAAAAACAAAAACATGCCCCCACCCCCGCCCCCCCCGCCCCCCCCCACCCGCCCGCCCAACCCTTTTCTGCGTGCCATCCCAAGGCGCGCGGCCGGCCTAAGATCTCGATGGCGTTGAAGTAGAAGGCCTCGTGGAACGGCACGCTCGCCGGCTCGTTGGGCACGACCCGCATATCGTTCTCGATGAGCCTCGACATCCATCGAAGGCCCGAAGGATCGAAGCGAAGGCGTGGCTCGAAAAACGTGGGGCCTGGAAAAACCGGACCAGTTCTCAGGAAGGTATGGGGGTGTCTTTTTGTTGCCAAGTGGATGTTCGATTCGCCAGGTTAGTAAGTGGAGATCGCCACTTGGGCTACAACACCCTAGTAACAAGTTGTTAACCCCACTGAACGGAGGACTCGAAATTGGGTTGTAACCTAGGTTTTGGATTTCGGACCTCCTTTTGCTTGGTATTCAACCATGAAACCAACCATTTTAGGGGACTCCTATTTTGAGAAACACCCAATTGACAAATTGCTACCTGTGGGAGAGATAATGAGACATGTTCAGAGAATCGAACTCTTTGCACGGCACGAAGCGTAGAACACCAAAGGACCCCGCTATAGTGGGACTTTCTCTCCGCGGCAAGCAAGCAAGAATGCAACCCTGACTCAGCAAGAAAGACTTTCTGAAAGGCGAGGTTCTTGTTCCTTGATGGGAGGTGCTTGAGGAGAAGTTGAAAGAAATTTGAAACTGAACCAACAACTAGGAAGGCAAATCCTGGCAACGCAATCCAAAATTCAGCCATGTCAATGTGTCTTTGCGTTCAAAAAAATGGGTGAACCGATATGTGAAGAAAGGGCACGATTTGAAGTGATTGCCGGGTTTTGCCATCGCAAAAGGCAACTTGGGCGATTCCTCGTCGCCATGGCCGGATTTTGATGCCGTCCGAGCGGACTGCTTCCAGCCACCGGCGCCCGTGCCCAAGGTGGGTAACGGTGGGTAGCGTCATCCAACTCATCCGCAGCAAGGCAAGTAGCTCAAGTCAACGTGACACACCAACGCAATTGACGAACGTCATATTAGGATAGATTGGAATAATCAGGATTACCATCAAACGAATCATAGGTCTCCCTTCCTGTTCTGCTGAACAGGCTGTTCTTATGCTGAAACGCCGCGCGCTTACGCGAAAACCTGGGCCGAGGGGCTGGTAAAAGCCCGAGGCGGTGAAGACCAAGCAGAACAGACCGAAGAACATCCTCAGCCAGGACCCGAGAGAAATGAGGGCGAAGCTGGGAGTTGCTTGAGAAGAATTGACGCAGAATGCCGCATCAAGATATAAAAATCCGCTTCCCTCTAATTGGTGTGTTGGATTGGTGGTTTGGCGGTACAGGGATGGTTTCTCATCTATCCAAAAGCCAGGGGCTTCTTCGCCCAACTCCGAATTCCAACCCCCGGGCTCCAATTTGCCTTCAGCTGACCTGAAAACAAATGGCTGTGGTAGCCAAACTGGAAACCTAGTAAATGGAGCCAAGGACCAAAGCCTGCGGTCCCGTGTTTTAATTTTGACCCGTACCCAAATGGCAAGTGAGCCTTGAAACCTGCTTTCAGGTCCAGGTGGTTTGCGGTAGGAAAACACACACCACAGGACTTAGGTCACGCCATGCGCGTTCTGTACTGCGTCATGGGGAATGAGAATCCTGGCAGCAGAGTGTGATCGGACAAGCATCCGGAGAACAAAATACCATGTTCAGCCTGGGCGGCTGTTTTTAGCCAGCCCAGCCAGAAGCAGAAAAGGCACATCTGTCAAGTTTTTGAACTACACTAGTGCTGAGGCAGCCCCCAAAACCGATGTTCAAGCTGAGCTGGAACTCAGGGGGGCTGGTGGGGCTCGCGGCAGCGCATTGGCCAGCCCCAGTACCACGGTTTATATATATATATATTGTCGTGTATCTCTGTATCTATCACTTGCCCTTTGAAACCAAATCTTGGCCCGGCCGTGAACCTGACACCCTAACTCAGCCTCCACGCCCGGCGAAGCGAAAGCCTTCGAGCCTTCCCCAGGTCCGAAGATTGATTCGGAGCCTGACGAGCGGCATGGACACCTCGCGGGTGACGTCCTCCGGGCGATTTCGCAGGAACCGGAAGGAGCGGAGGATGCGGAAGAGCTTCGTGACACGCACCACCCGCAGCACCACGGAGGTGTCGTTGTCCATGCCGAACCTGGGATCGGAGAGAGAAACGAGGGCTGGGTTCGGGGGATAGAAGGCAGGCCTCCTGCAGCAAGTCTCGAAGAGTTGGGTTTGCGGACTTGAAAAGGGAGTGACAGAAAGATAGCAGACACACAACTCTGCGACTCAGTGCGCAATCCTTGATCTATCATGTGGGGAGATTAGCCTGGCTGTCGTGACAGGCAACTAACACGAATTTTAGCTGGCATTCAACCGCGGGAATCTTGGGGTTGGGTGGGATTCCTGTGCAGCTAACACCAAGAAATTCAAATCTGCCCCCCCCTCGCAAAGAGCGAGAGAGAGAACAACAACAAAAAAAAAAGGCACTGCCAGGAACCCTGCACGGTTTTGTGAACCTCACTCATTCAGCGTGGAATGGGCCTGGAAAGCAGGTGATACTTTCCATGAAGAGAAGGAGGAGGAGATGAAGGAGAAGGACGAGAAGGAGGACGGTAGCAACGACACCAACGGCGACCACGATAACCACGACGACGACGACGACGACGACGACGAGGAGGAGGAGGAGGAGGAGGAGGAGGAGGAGGAGGATGATAATGATGATGATAATGCATCACTGATGACTCTGAAGAGGAAAAGGCGAGTCGGCGGCAGGCGACAGCCTGTTCAAGCTGGAGTCGCAGGTGCAAGCTGCAGGTGTTGCAGACCCATCCAAACGCCTATACATAGAGGCTTCAGAGGGTGTAGGGGCACAATTCTGCTTAAGCATCACTGGCATAGGCTATCGTCTAGCATGGCTTGGCACTAGACAAACCCTCCCAACGCAAGGTAACTAGGTCTGCTTCCGTCAAATGATGGTAGTAGTGTCCAACTCAGTGACTTGCCACAGCGACAGCTGAATGGGCTCACTTTAATATAAACAGGATACTCTCCGACTGGCCAAAATGTGCATGGCACAAAGGAGCAAAACCTGAGGCACCGGCAGCTGTCTGAAGATCAGCACAGGCATCAGCGTGACCACATCCACAAAGGCCATCAGGGAGTACAGAAACTCGAGCTTATTCCGGGAAACGTAGAACTGGAAGATGTAGTCAGCCAAAAACAGGACCTGACAAAAACAATCTTCAAGATGACGATGGGGCACCAAGACCAGTGGGAAGGTAGAGCATCGCAACTGCTTGGGACTTGGCCGACTGCTCGTTTTCCAAGGAGAAAGGTCTGCCAAGAGGCGAGAAGCCACATGTTGCACCGGGCCCTATACGACTGGCAGTGCAAGATGCCTCCAATCCAAGATGAAGCAAAGATATCCGAAAAAGGGCGGTGAGCGTCACTTTTCGTACCCGCAGCATAAATCTGGGACGGGTGTGCGCGAGGGTGCTGCCGAGTAGCATTGATCACACTCTCCAGCATCTCGAACCAGTGCTGAGTGATACCGTAGGTCTCCTCGGATTCACCACGGGATAGGCGGCCCTTGGGTAAAATCAATGGGTGTGCCTGGAAAATGGGGCATAAAACCAATCTAAACCAGTGGAACCCATATATCTCTGAGTAGACTAACCTTAAAAGGACACCTATGCACGTGGTTTGCCTGGGGGCATTTGAGGGGGGCAACTATGTGTGGTCCGTGTGCAATACAGCAGACAATCCAAGACTCCAGCCTGAGAAGTGATTCCTCCTGGCTCTTTTCAACCACTTTGCCTCGCAGTCCCTGACATTGCAGTTCAAGCCAAAATATCAAATGTAGAGATCCAGGGGACCCTGCAAGCTGTCCAGTAAATGTGATTTCTGAAATTCCTCATGCGTATGTCAGAGAACTCAAGCCCGGACCAAAAATCACCGCAGGACTTTGATCCAAAAAGGGCTTAAGTCACACGTCGCTTGATGAATGAATCAAATACAAGCTGCTCGCAGGGTTCATTGCCCCTCCCACATAGGTGTCCTTTTGGGGCAAATAGATGGATTTCCCTGGTAGATGAAAAAAAACACCAGGCAAACCAGGAATCGAAACCCCTCTATTTTCCACCAACACCACCAAACAGGACACCTATGCCCTCCCAAGTGTTCTTCCCTCTTGGCTAGGGAGATGCATTGGAGCTTACGCACCGGCGGTCAGCAGGCCCCGACTCAGCCGAGCTGCCACCACCTGGGCCGAGCGCGAGCCACGAGCCACTGTAGGACGCCCGTGTCTTGTCCCTTCGTCGAGGCGTTGTGGCCGATATACGTTCAAAGCATCCTATGTTTTCCAGGTTCAGCTGGTGGCACTGTTCTTTCCCGGCAGTACCCAGTGGCTCATGGATAGCTCCCATTCAGACGAGAGCGTGACTCACGTCATGCTAGCAACACACACACACACACACACACCCACACACACACAAGCTGGGTGGTTTCAGAAGTGGCATCACAGTCAAAGTCAAGCCCCGTGAGAACAACACAATGCACGGCAAATGCTCCTCGCTGACAATACGAGATGAGCATCCTTTTGGCCCTGTTGCTCCAGGTTTGCCTCTCCTTTCGAGGCTTCGCAACGGGTTTCTTGATTATTGCCCGGCTCCCATGCCAATCCTTCACCCAAGGTCCGAATAACGGAGACCAAAGGAGACCACCGAGCAACGAATCTTGGCTCAAGGAACGAACCACTCAGCGCGGCTGGCCGCTGGCCGCACAAAAAGTATCGCAGTATGCCACCAAAGAAACAAGTCTCCGTGTGATGTTCCGCCTTCGACTGCGCATTGCAAACCCTGCCCGTTGTTCGCCCCCGTCCCCCAGGGTCACGCCCTTCCCAAACATGACTTTCACTTTTTTTAGACATGGGTATGGGTCAAAATTCAACCACCAGGGGACCGCAGGTTTTAGTCTATGCTTCCATGTACCACGGATTCTTGGGTTCCAAAAAGGATAACCCGCACCTTTGATTGCTCCGAGGCACGTAGATACCACAAAGCACCAGCGACAAAAGTGTCTGCATGACGTCGATGCGCTCCAAGATCTGAAGCCCTCGGAGCAAAAAAATGGTTATGCCACGTTTGGGAGGCATCGAAAGAGTCGTCGGAGGACTTTTTCTTGGTTGCTTGCAACCAGTACCTCCCATGCTCTCAGCAAAGGATGGCTTTTTGCTTTGAGCTCTTGCAAGTGGCTCAAATGGCTGTGCGCATCCCATCCAACCAACTTTGTGTTTCCCTTTCTCTTCAACCTGCAGGGTCCTCTCCAGCGAAATCACAATGTGGGGCCTCTGCATTGGAGCTACGGCTTCGAGGTCTATGAGCCCCGAACCTCGCGAGCCGAGCGAAGGGGCCTCGCGAGCGAAGGGACCGAATGCAACCACAAGGGGGCCCCGGGCTTTGGGGGGTCGGCGGGCCAGGTAGCCTGGGCAATTTTCGGGGCTTGCCTGGAGGATTTTTACGTCTTTGCTAATGAGAAGCTTGTTTGCAGCCTTGAAAGGATGATCAAAGCTTCTGCTTTGGCAGACGAGTAAACTACAAGTTGACCAAATCGGTGGGGCGCCACGTTGCGAGATAAATTCTTTTCTGCTGATTTCCGGCGAGAGAGCACATCATCAGCTCCCACAGCTCCCCGGAAGCCACCAACGCCCAAGTCTGTGGTTTATCACTGATCTCACGCTTAGCCCAAGCTTCTGTCCGCGTGCTTGAAGAAGCCGAAAAAATATGCTCTCTTGGAACACACTCCAAGACCGGGCAGTATTTGCCCCTGAATCTGTAACTTACGAGGCCTTTGACACCAGAACCCCCAGCCAGACAAGGGGCGGTTCAGGAAGATCAGCAACCGCTGCCGCGTGGTAATCACCAGTGCGGTGTGCTTGACCCCCCTGCGCCGCGTTTTCGGCTCGCGCCGAGCGGTTCCAGAAATTGAATCCGGAGTTGAACATTAGCCTTGGGGGCTGGGGGGGAGGGAGGTGGGGAAAAGGCAGCCCAAATCAGCCCTAAGCCCTTAAGGCCTTACTGGCGCTTATTTGGGCTCCCTCTCCCTCCCTCTTTCGCAGCCCCCAACTGGCGGATTGAGCTTCAGGAATGTCTGTTGCTTCGCCTAATCTGATCAGCTGAGCGCCTGATCACGCACTGGGCAGTCATCACGGCAAGGCTTTGCAGAAACGCAAGAAACACACGCCGTGGGATGGCTCCAGGCTGGCTTTGCTTATAAGTATGGTCCGGAAATGAGCCCTTGTTAACACAGACTCGCATCGCCACACTGTGATTTTCTGCATTCAAGCCACAGCGGCAAGTGGGCATCAATAAAAGAACAACAAAAGGACTTGTTCACAGCATGTATTCTTTAGCTCGTCCATGCATCCAAAGTATGGCATTGCCGCGGTATGCGATAAGCACAAAATGACGAAGCCAAGTCAAAACTGGCGAGCCAAAGCATTCAAAGGAGCGCTCGCCCTAGCGTCACAGTAAGAGCCCCACCTTGCCTGATGCGCCGAAAGATCAGGATCAGAAGCGTCATCACAGCCTCGCAACAAGATTTTTGCGCAGCCATCCAAGCAAGCACCAGCAACAGAAAACCCCCCAAACGGATAGAACAAAACCACAGCCGCAAGAAAAAGCCGGTGTAACACGTCACCAAAAACCAAATGCGCTGCATCGACCTGTCCAAGCCCACGACGAGAGTCTAGTCCCATCCGTTGCCGAATGGTAACCCAAGCCCCGGGCTTCGAGAAACAAGGTCGAACAGAGATGGGCTGGTCTTCTTGAAAAACCCGCCTCTTGGTGGTGTCCAAGGGAGACCAACAAAACAAAAACAAAAAACACACACACACACCCACACGCACACGCACACGCACACGCACACGCACACGCACACGCACACGCACACGCACACGCACACGCACACGCACACGCACACGCACACGCACACGCACACGCACACGCACACGCACACGCACACGCACACGCACACGCACACACGCACACGCACACGCACACGCACACACACACACACACGCACACACGCACACGCACACGCACACACACACACACACACACACACACACACACGCACACACACACACACACACACACACACACACACACACACACACACACACACACACACACACACACACACACACACACACACACACACACACACACACACACACACACACGCCCCCGCCGCCATTTCGAGGGTCGTTTAAAAAAGCACACCCCCATACGGTGTGTCAACAAAAGAACGGCCTCAAGAAGTGTCCCAATCAACAGCCACTCGCTGATCCCGGGATCGGATTTTCTCCAGCCGCGCATGGATTGTTTGCCATATCGGCACTCCTTCGACCCGGCGAATCTAAGCCTCCCCTTTCTGCCAGATCTTGCTTCAGCAAGCCATTTTTGTGGGGCAGCTTCCTTGATGAAAGCCCCTTACATTTGGTTGAAACTGAGCAACTCTGAGTTAAGGTGGAAAGCTCCTCCAACTCGGGCAAGTTGCATAGTAACCGACAATAGCGCTGACCAAGATGATCAAGGCCGCATGCTCGCTGGCGATCCTCAAACGAGTTTACAAGTTCGAACCAGGCAGGCGAAGCGAGCTCAATCAACATCCCGCGTCCCGCACAGGTCGAGTGGTCTACTTGTAGCGGAATTCACCTCAGAAGGATGGATGGCAGCTGCAGATCAATTCCAGCCTGTCAGGATTGCTTGGTTGACGTTGGAAGGGGAGCAAAAAATCATTTTTTAGAAGTTAAGTGGGGATTTCCCAATAAAACACAATAAGTTGCAAACATGCAAAATGTTTCCCAACAACAAACATGATTGTTCGTTGGCCATGAAATGGGAAGCAGCGGCATAAGGATGCTGCTTGAGGCGTGAAGTTGAAGCCACCACTCACACCTACAGCCCTGCCTGGTGAATCATTTCGCTTTGCCAACGACGATGGGGCAAAATCTCACACAAATCCCCAAGAAATCCATCGCCAGGTGAGAACGCCTCGTCCCACTCGTGAGGTGTTTCGGGAATCCATGGAACCAAATCATTCTCGATGCGTCCGCCGAAGAAAGCGAGCTCGCTAGCTCTCTCTCTCTCTCTCTCTCTCTCTCTCTCTCTCTCTCTGTCTCTCTTTCTGTCTATCTCTCTCTTTTGAAAGGAAGGACCCGCGACATGTATGAAAAGGAAAGCCAGAGCGTTCGCACACCCGGAGTGTCCTTATCGTGTGAACAACACACAAAATCACCTGAGGCCCGTTTTGGGTGGGACTCCGTCCTTCAGATTTGAGGGGGGATTCGGGGTTGGCCTCTAGAGCTTATGATCATTCTTCCGCCAAGCTGCACTCCTATCATGATGCGAGGACCCAAAGCGTCCTGGAGGGTGGTTGCATCTTGTTTTTGGAAACATGTTGCGGTTGCCTCCACGTTTTTTGCCAAAAAACTTACAACCCAGGCTAAACCATGGCGTCACGGAACACAAGGCCTCAACACCAAATGAAATGTTTGGGACGGACGTACCTGTCTTCATGCTATGAACAAATCGCCTGAGTTGTCCACATGTCCTGCATGCGCTCAATCAAATCGGACCGTTGCAAACCAAGTGCATGAAGCAGAAAGCAAAACGTGCTGAACTCGATATTGGCAGACAAGCCAGAACCATATAGGCGACCTTGAATTGCGGCTAGGGAAAAAAGGCACTCCGCGCTTGCGTCCCAAAATGCTTAACTATAGGAAGGAATCTGATCCTAACAAGCCGCATGTCTTCGCATGTCACACAGGCCAAGGCTTCCCGCCTGCGGACAAAACAAGTTGCTTTCGGACAAGGTTGAATTTTCAAGCCTGTTGGATGTTGAAGGTAGGGACAAAGCTAAAGAAGTGCGGCGCTCTGGCAGTCAAAATCTAGTCATAAGAACGTTGGCGTTTCAAACCGGCCGCGCTGACAAAGCACAATCCCGGTGCCAAAGCCGAGGCCATGCGTTTTACTTTTTGCCGACTTGGTTGACTTTGTTCACTTGACTGGCTCTGCGAGGCACCTATAAATATAAATATGTGTGTGTATATATATATATACATATACACATCTATCTCTATATATCCGCCGACAACAGGCGGCGTGTTGTTACACCCCCCTTTACCCTTTCCGGGGGGACGGTTTCAGACTATTGCGGGGAACACAGTTGCGTAAAAAACATTGGGGTGTTCGATTCCCCCCGGGTCCGTTTTTGCATCCTTAGGCAACATCGCCAGCATCACCTACACCATTCGCATCTGTGCCTGCCAAGGATGCGGATGATGCAAGTAATGCTGGGGATGTTGCCCATGCTGGAAGGAAAATCTGGAAATGAAGGAAAATGCATGGAATGAATGACATGAAGTGAAATGAAAGAAAAGGAACAACAACAGACAGAACCGAAGTGAAGGAAAGTGAAGGGAAAACAAGATCTTTGAAAGGAAAGGGGGGACAAAGATTTTAGGGGGGGAGCTGGGGAGAAGATCGGATGGGGGGGAGGGGAAAGGGAAAGATCTTAGGGGGGGAGAGTGTCGGAGAGGTCAAGGATCTCAAGCGGGAAAGGGGCAAAAGATCTTGGCGAGGAAAAGGGAGAACATGTCAAGGGGGGGAAGGCCTTAGGGGCGAAAGGGGGGAAAGGATCTCAAGAGGGAAAGGGGGGGAAAGATCTTAGGGAGGAAAAGGAGAAGATCGGGAAAGGCCTTAGGGGGGAAAAGGGGGAAAGGATCTCAACAGGGAAAAGGGGGAAGAGATTTGCGGGAGGAATCTTTCTCGGGGGGAAAAGGCCTTAGGGGGGAAAGGGGGGAAAGGATCTCAAAAGGGAAAGGGGGGAAAATATCTTGGGGAGGAAAAGGGAGAAGATCTGAAAAGGCCTTGAAAGGATCTCAGCAGGGCAAGGGGGGGAAAGATCTTAGGGAGGAAAAGGGAGAAGATCTCGGGGGGAAAAGGCCTTAGGGGGGAAAGGGGGGGAAGGATATCACCTGGGACAGGGGGGAAAAGATCTGATCTCAGGTTGGGAACAGGGGGGACAGGATCTCAACAGAGAAAGGTGGGAAAAGATCTTAGGGAGGAAAAGGGAGAAGATCTCAGAAAAGAAAAGGCCTTAGGGAAAGGGGGGAAGGATCTCAACCGGGAAGGGGGGGGAAAAGATCTTGGGGAGAAAAAGCGAGAAGATCTCGGGGGGGGAAAGGCCTTAGAGGGGAAAGGGGGAAAAAATCTCAACAGGGAAAGGGGGGCAAAGATCTTAGAGGGGAAGGGGGGCAAGGGGACAATTCCAAAGGGACGCAAATAAGAAAGCAGGCTTGTAATGTCGGCGGCCTGAGCCGGAGGCGTTAATACATCTATATATACATATATATATATATATATATATATGCACCAGTCCTGTGGCGTCCCCCCACTCCCCCGCATCATCCGCATCTTGGGGATGATGCTGGCAATGCTGGGGATGCTGTCTACCGTGTTAGCCCTGCAGCTTCGGTCCCAGACTCCCCCTTTCACCCCGTGAGCCAACACCCCCGCACCTCTCGCAACATCCTAGCCTTAAACCAAACCACCCTGCAACCCCTCCTTAACCCCAACCCTAAGCCTAAATCAACCCAAACCCCAAACCCACCCGAAACCCACCGCAAACCAACCCTGAACCAACCCTGAACCAACCCTAAACCAACCCACCAAGCCTAAACCAACTCCGAACCACACCCCAACCACCCAACCACCCCACCACCCCACCACCCCACCACCCACCCCACCCTCACAGGGGGGGGGGGGGGTTGGGGGGGTCCGGGGGGGGGTCCACGGCCTGGAACATAGATATGATTATGTGTGTATGTACTTCCCGGTCCCCGCTTTGCTAGCCCCCCCGCCAATAGCATGCATCCGCGGCAGCCCGCTCTAAACTGACCTCGGTTGCTTTCTGCTCCTCTGCTAAAAGCTTAACTTTTAGTGGCTTTATGAAAAACCCATTAGTTGGCAAAAAGTTAAAGTCCTAACATCCAAGCAGAATGCATCAAAGTGACCCTTGAACAACCCTGCACCAACCTTGCGCCAACCTTAGTAACCCACAACCAACCAACCAAGCCACAACCACTCCGCCACGGGAAGTTCCATGACCGTGGGTGGGCGGGAGGGGGGGAACCTAGAAACTGGAAGATAATATCTAGGACGCACGCCCCAAAGCAACCTCCTGGTCTGCAGCCACAGGATGCCAAACGACCAAATGTCGACCAACCACGGTGCTTTCTCCTGTATCTCGCTCAGCTACATCCATGTATCTGCGGCAGCGACATGGCGACAACCCAAAAAGCACACTTCCTACTGCCTTCCGAGCAAAGCTCGGGCTGCCTGGTACCAGACCTCTTCCTGGCAAATGCACACAACATGTGTCAACCCCAAGCAAGACATTGCCAAACAAGACTACTCTGGCTGCCAAAACAATGGCTTCTGAAGGAAGGTCCGCCAAATTCAAACTTGGGTTCGGCTTTGTCCTGAAGCCTCTTGCGCGGCCATGCTTTGCCACGCTTCCCACTACACACAGTTTCAGAGGCATTCCGGTCGGCCGCGCGCATCAATCATACGGTATCGCTTGCAGGCTGATTGTCAGCAGCCAACCCGACACTTTCTCAAACTGACATGGAACCCAGAAACACATTTGCCTTAAGCAGATAATATCTATATATTTATACTTGTGTGCCCTAACACTGCCTGCGAGGAAAAAAACACTTGTCAATCGGCGTCCGAAGGCCAAACAATCAAAACCCTCCATGAACAAGGGAGACCCACATGTTGAGATCCTTCATTTATCAAGAATCGGTTGGAGTATAACTACTTGTCATGGTTTGGAACTCCGCCGCTTGCCCTCCACCTCAAAAATCAGCGCTGATTCTACAGCCAATTTGCCTTGGGCAAGTGATCAAAGGCCAATGAAGAAGAAGTCCTGCTCGATTGCAATGCCAACTCAATACTTGTTCGACAGCGAGGGTCAGGCGGTGCTCACCCAAACTCTCCTAGGTTCTCCAACCTGGCGTTACCCATCCCTTCGGCGGACATGCAGGGCAAAGGCAATCAAGGGGTCGTCGGATCACCCAAGATACAATGTTCAAACAGAGTTTCACTGCCGGAGTTGATTGCCGCCTGCTATTCAATGGTCTTCCCAACAAGCTTGAAAGTCCATGAACTCAGAGAGTGAGGAGTCTACCATTGACCCCTCTCTTGTGCAGTCCATTTGCTTCCCCGCGTGCAAACAACCCAGCGGCCGCTTTTCCAATCGAGCGGCGATTGCTTGGCACTCAGCACCCCACGAGTATCCAGCCCAAAGATTTCTGCGGGGCCTTGCGGGTGCGTGGCTTGCGAAAGGCAATCAAATGGCCATGGGTCAAAATCCAAATCGTACCCCCCGCGAACATCCCAATCCCCACTAAAATAGGTGCTAAAATTGGGGTGGTGAATTCACCTACCCCAAAATGGGATCCCATTGGTTTTGACCCACAGCCAAATGACAGAGATCCAATGAACAAACCAAGATGGCACCTCCTTCCCCAAGCCTGCGATTGGTCCCCATCGTTTTTGAAACGGCACGTGCCTGGTTCTTGGCTCTCATCCGAATGCTGAAATACCGTTAATTTTACTTCCTTGTGAGACTGGACTCTTTCTTCTTTTTTAGTAGGACCGCTTCTCCCAACTGAATTGGGTCACCAAGGTCGCAAGATTGGGTCTCCCAGTTGGTGTGCCTGGGAAACCAAAACGCAAGAAAAAGGAACAGCGAAATTCCAGCGCACCATACACATGGTCATCGACAAAGAAGATCCTCAGCCCACACGGCTCAAAGGAGAGTCATTTTGGGACACCTCTTCACCAAAACTGGCGCTTCAGCGCCAGTTTCGGCCAGATCCAGCCCATCCGATCCGCTCCGATCCGATCGCCTCAGGACAGGAGCCGCCGCAAGGCGGCGTCCTTGGCCGCCAGCGCATCCAGCTCTGGGAAGCGCTGGGCGCGCAGCTTGACCCCGATCCTGGCGGAGTCCAGTGGCTGCATCGGTTTTGGTTCAGGTGGACGTCCCTTTTTGAGACGATGCAAAGAAAGCTGGCCTTCGAGCCAGGCCACTTGGACGGGCGATGGAACGGATGGAAAGGGAGCCGCGGTGGGAAAGGATGCCACAGCGACCCGAGTGTTGAAGATGAGCCACACAAGAGCGTATGTTTCCTGGCGAGGGAAAACTTCCAGGTTCCAGGCTCATGCCTGGCTCCGCCAAAGCCTTGCTTCCACAGCCAAACACGTCTCAGGGTCCCCAAGACGTCAGAAGGATGCCCATCCCAGACAACCAAAGGGCCCCGGAGATGCCACCTGTTCCAACATCCAGCATTCTTCAAACTCTACTATAAATCTAAAAGCTAATTTGAGGGATCCCCGAGCTCCTTATACCCCCCCCCCCCGGCCGGTGAGCTCGGTATGGGTCCACAAGCTTCAGCCCTCTCCTCGTCAGCAGCCGCAGATTGGCGGCGCGGCCCCGCACGTGCAGTGCGGCCGAGACGAGCTCAGCCAGGGCCTCCGATCCGCATCCCACGACTTTTGTCTTGCTGGTGCTTAGCAGGGAATGAGGGAATGAGGCTACCCTTCCGGTTTCCCCTGATCCCCCCCCATCTTGGGTGGTTTTCCCTTCACCCCCCCCCCCCCCCAAACTTGGCCTATTCCTTCGTTTTCTATTTCACCAACCTAAAATATGGTGGTTGGGGGGCTATTCCCCACATAAACCACCATTTGGGGTAAATTCGGTTGTGTTGAGGTCGTTCTATTTCACCCAGTTTCTTGCGATCGCTGCGAGAGATGCAGGGCATGAGAATGGAATGACCCCTAGCAAGACCATCCCGCTGGTGGTTTCCTTCGAGGGGACCCCTGGGTTCATTCCCACTAGTTTTTCTCCCGATTGGGATTTCCTTGTGCCACCTGAGGGGAGCCATTGATGGCTGCCTTGTTTCCGGCAGGCAAAGCAAGAACACCAGGCCCCGAGACTCAGGTCCCAAGGTGTGAACCAAAAAACCGGAGCCGGATGGAACCGGGGCGTTTTGGTTGTTTGCAATCGCCACTTGCTCACTCTTGCTCGGTGAAGAGTCCAAAACGAGGAAATCCCAAGCAAAAACAGCCAACAATCACCGGTGCCGGGCAGTCGGGTCTTGATCTACAACATCAGAACCCTCGGGGACAAAGGGTCATTACCCCGACTAGACGAATGGTGGTTTTGCTCCGGCCGCAAGGGGCCAACCAGCAAAACAGGGAGACCAGAAATGAAACCCAAAGTCGCTTGGGACAAGCCCCAAGATCCTCCCGGGATCTCCCCAGGCACCCCCCCCCGTTTCATGCTCACCGGAAGGCTGTTGTCGGAAGAATAGGTCTCGTTGCGGCTGGGCGCGCGCGCCTGCTGCTGCATCTGCCCCAGCCCCACCAGCAAGACCTTGGGCCCGAGGGAACACAACAAAGGGCCTGGAGCCTGGAGCCTCGGCGCAGATGGGGCCCGGCTTCAACAGAATTCCCGTGTTTATTCGTCTAAACAAAAGCTCAGATGTCTGATCACTAAACAAAAGCTCATTGGATGTCTGTTCGCGTCCGTGGTCCAGTGGTTCAATGGATTGTCTGCCCAGCCCTGTTTTGCTCCCCACCAGATCATTTGTGTGCAGGAAACGCAGCGTTTTGTGAAGACAAGTAACATATACCAACTGGTCAACGTGCTCCCAAAGGCTGCAGTATCTCAAACCAAATCCTCGGCTAAGTGTTCTAAATAGCTATGCCACACTCTGCTGAATAATTTTACTTTTGGCAAGGTCGATAAGGTCGATAAATAAAAACATGGATTTCAAGCAAGCATGAAGCACGATGTGGCCTGGTCAATTTCAGCACCCTTACAAGCATGAGGCCGTAGCCCTCCCTTTTTATGGCAGTGCCCTTCAAGACAACAAAATGGCATGTTCTGCCTCAACAAACAACTCAAGCAAACGTACCTTTTCCATGCAAGAACATGCTGGTTATGCATTCAGGAATGTGCCAATCGAGGACATCAAAGCTGTCAAGCACGTCACTCCCTATGTGCTGTTCACATTTGGGGATTGATCAACATTGGTTGGAAAACCCACCCAACAAATGCTATTTCCCAACACGGGAAAAGTTACCAAACTGTACCACCCCCCCCCACCCTCCCCCAACCCACCCCCACCCCCCCACCCACCCCCTGAACCCACCCCCCCTCACAGCCCCCCACCCACCCTCTCCAACCCCCCACCCCTCCACAAACCCCCCAACCGTGGCCCAGCCATCGCGGAACGCCGAATCAGGCCCAAGGCGTTAATGTCCGACCACTCCTTGCGCGGCAGCAAGGTCCTCGGGGCGGTAGTTTTTGTCCGGCACCCCAGCAAAAAGCAGGCAGTGGAAAAGGAAAATATCGCCAAACCATGGGAAAACCACGGAAAACCATGGCATCTTCATGACTCTCATGGCCAATGTCATGTTCCACGCGCGGTCGCACCATGTGAACATGATATTTCTAAATGGAGCCAAGGCCCCTGGAATTTAAATTCCCACACAGCCTTGCAAAGGGAATAATCGAGCAAGCAAGCAAACTTAGACATGTCACCTCCTGCCCAGCTTTTTGCCTCCCAACTCCCCTCTGGCCCCGGCTCCAGCTTCTCCCGGGTCTCCTCCGGAGTGCGGCTGCGGACCTGGCGCGAAAGCTGGCGACAGAAGCGCCACCGGCAGTCTGGTTGCATGGACCCTGCGCATTAAACATGTTGGATATGGCCCCGAAAGGAAGGCGAGGCCAAATGTAGGCTGTTGAGTGGAGAAACCAACTGATTGGGCTACTGGCTTCGGCAGCCCAGGTCTTTTGACTGCATCCCTCCGAGCAAACTCAAGGCTGGCCAATCCCCTTGGACCAACTCCTTGCGCTCCTTGCGGCCATTGGGCACCCAAAAGGTGGGCTGGTCCAACCAGCCCGCAGCATTGAAAGTCCGTCCGTCCCTGCTGACCTGAGCCGTCCCTTCTCGTTCTCATCTACTTTAAGGGATGTCGTCACAGGCCCAACTGCTCCTTCCCATGTGACGCTTGAGTGGTTCAAGTGACAAAACACGCGCAAGATCATCGTGTGAAACCAGGGAACCCCTTTGCCGCCAGAAAGAGGCGACATCGTTCCAGCCAGAACCCGATGAGCCCCCTAGCCATCTCCCTGCAAATCCGGTCCAAACCAAAGGAGACCCATGAAAACCGCAACTCTTCGCTGGTCCGAGGATTGAACATGATGGAAAATGGCTATGACAGTCAGTAACGACTGACTATCTTAAATCACAGAAATCGTAATGTATCATAGTACTCAGAACAGTGTTGCTATTCATGTAATCATGACGGGCAAATCTGAAAAAAAAAAAAACAAGCGCTCGCTGAGAAGGGTCGTGGAGGGTCATTTCACTCATTGAGCAGAGTGGTGTTTTCTTGCGTGGTGCTTGGTTTCATCTGTTTCTTGAAAACAAGCCAACGTCGCATATTCCTAGTGGCGGAGAGAGTACCATGTACCACCTGGTTAACAGCATGTTGCAATAAACCGCTCGGAGGTACCCAGCAACAAGTGGCAAATCTCCGTAGCCTGAGAACCCGTCCCGGCGACACACCACCGCACCCAAGCAAGCTGGTTGGCGATGCGATGCACGTGCGTGTCCACACCTGCAAGCAATACTGAACACTTGGCACGCCACGCGAGTCGCGGGTTTCAGCTTTCGGCTGTCGCAAAGTACGACATGGGATTGAGAGCCCAAGAGTGGTCTCAGCCGTTCAGAGATCTCTACACACTTCTTTGTCCTTTGGAGCAAATCAATCCTGGTGACCCCACTTCTAAACAGCCGGGAGCAGAAGCTGTCCTTTGGAGCAAGTCAACCATGGCAACCCTACCTTTGGGGCTCTAAACAGCCAGGAGCAGAAGCCTCTGCCAGCTTCAGCACCTTTCACTTTCAGCCCAGCATGTGTTAAATAAAATTGAGCGGAGCGGTCTTGTCGCTGGCACCCGAAATTCCAAGTGCTTGTCCTAGGTGTACCGAATGTCAGCGGCGACGAAATCCCAGCAACTCTGAGTGGTAATTGGAAGTATGATAACTATGCTGGTTCCCTCTAGAAATCGTCCAATGGACAAGGATCAAAGGAAGTAAACGGCAGCATCTCTTGTTTAGCCATGGTCCAGCTTGAAGCTCCGGGTGAGTCGGCATGGCTCAAGCGCAGACTCACAAGTGGCATGTTGGTGTGTGTAGTGGCAAACATGCCTTGGCAGAGCTCCATGCACCTATATGGCCATGGGTCAAAAGCCCGTACCCCAAAATGAGATCCCAAAATTGTTTTGACAACCACTGCCATATAAATCCCCAGGTCCAATGAGCGCGTCAAACCGGGCGAGAGTGGCCAAATCGCCGCTTCACCAAGAACCCCGGCAGATGCCCTGCTGGCGGTCAAAGGCACTGTGCATCACGAGGTGCGCCTGGCTGAAACCCGCCGGGATGGGCCCGAAACGTCAAGGGACGGGCAACAAACATGCGGACAGTCCAATCAGGGCTGTGGGGAATGGAATCCACTGCTGTGATACAACAGAAAGGGCTTCCCAAAGACGAGTTTCTTCATATTCAGGGGGATTTCCTTGTATCACAGATGGGGAGAAACCCCTTGATCCCACAACCCTGTGCGGACCACTTGCGGCCATTGGAGAATTAGATGGCAACCTTTTGTCTGGCTGAGAAACATGCGGACCCAAATGCCACTGGACAATTCACGTAAGCGAGTCCATATTGCCCGTTTGGGCCTCGCAAGAGCATTTGCCTGTCAGAAAGAAGGCAGTGGGCAGGGGGATGGTGAGTGGTGCTCAAAAAGACAATCTTGTTTCTCCCTTCAGTCAGCCCGTCTGCGTGTCCTTTGCTCGTTTGCCCCAACGTCCAATTTCCGCCAACCGCCTTGCTCTGTGGCACTCCTTGCTTGGTGGTTTTCCTCAGTCCCAGGGCCATTGTTTGGGCCCTGGTTGATACTTCATTGGTCAGTTGGCCCCATCATTGCGCGGAGCCAAGGATTCAACTTCAGCTCACAGGAGGGCTTTGGCTACAATCCCTTGGAAAGAGGCTACCTCAGTGAGACCAAACCAGCAGTGTCCCCAAATCAAAGTGGTCCCACCAGTCATATTGCTGATTCCACATACCCTCCTGTCCACCAACATGGAACCTGACCGAAAGGTCCTGGAGGCCTATCAAAAGCGACCATTTCTCTGGTTGGCTCCATATGGCCAAAAAAAGTATATTCCATGATCGGTCCCAAAATCCAAGAGTTCTTTGCACTTCCCCAAACATCACTGGAGCTCCCCTTGAACAGTTGATCAGTTTACCGCTGGGTTCCCACCCAAATCGCCACTGTTGGAGGTCCCAAAGCCCACCCCAGCCCCACTCCAGCCATTCGCCCAGCGCCGCAAATCGCCGCCAAGCGGCCATCTTGGGCCCGATGCCTGGCAGCTGTAGTAGGCCCTGCGCAAGCGGCGCTCAAAAAAAATCCGCCGGGGGCAAAGCACCGCGAAGGATTCTATGATGTAGTGGTGGCGGTTTTGCTTGTGGTAGTTTCCTGCGGCCATGGTGTACATACAATTATATGTATGCGTGTGCATGTCTATACTTGTATCGCATATGTATGTGCATGAATAAGACTGTGCATGTATACAGCACGCAAACCAGAATATGCCATGTGCAAATGCCGGGAAATACAGACTGAAGTTGTGCGATCAACGGATTTAGAGGGCGTGGTGGCTCAACACACATCATGGTACTCGGGTGGGCCATCGCAGGTCCTCCAAGGTCTGCGGAATGCGGCCCTTGTGCTCCGACTCGCAGATCCTAGGAGTCTTCGGTGAGATCTTGTCATTTCGCAAGGGAGTCAGGCAGCAGTCTGTCACAACAGGGAACCCTTTTGGGATGGTTTCACAGGAAAGCGAGAAAACCAACCACCTTCAGGAGTCTCAACATTTTGAGAAACCCTCACGTGGTGACTTGATGTTTGCGACCACCATGGGATGGCCTCGTGCATCACACTCGCAGGGTGCAGGGTCAATCACTGAGGCACACTCATACGTTGAGGGTAGCAGAAGCCGGGAATAGCAATTGTTCGGACCGTAGATGTTTAAATTAAAGCCCTCCCCATCACTAACGTTAACATGGCTTGCCCCAGATTCTCCCAGAGCATTGCAGCCTGGGTGCTACTTGCTCCTCTCCTTGTTGGGAAATACAGGGCCTTCCTCAAAGAGGCTACACAGTTTGGGGGGGGGGCCTACACTCCCTCACACAAACAAAGCGTAACTGCCACATCCAAACAGAAAGAAGTTCGCCTAGGCGGGGAGAGAGACAAAGAAAAGGAGAGAACGCGATCCTTCTTGTTGCTGTCGTCATCAAATCAGGTGAAAGTGATAGTACGGGGGAAGGCACAATGTCCCTTCATGTGAAGCGAGGCTACAGACTTTCATGCCCTTCAAGAACCCCACGCGCAGTTCAATCCCCACTTTGTGAGCCTTGGACAAGCACCAACAAATTGGCGTGTCCTTGTTTAGAGCCCCCCCCCAAAGAAAAAAGAAAGAAGCAGACAAACATGTTTCTCCCGTTGCTTCTGTTGGTTTCCCCTTCAACAGCAAGAAAGCGGTACCAACCCAAAACCGAACCAACAACTCAGCTTCGAATTTCACCCCCGGACCACGACTCCCCCAGCCCTCTCGAGCTTCCCAGCCACCGAGGCTCTGAGCCCCCGGCTTCGCAGCGGCCCGAAGGCTCTTCGCCTAGCCGGATCCCAACGTCCATGTTGCCAGGGACAAGGGACTCCAACTAAGTTGCTCGGTTGCGAGTTCTCTGCTCCCCTGCTAAAAGTTTTCAACTGTTAGTGGTTTAGTGGAAAACCAATTAGTTGGCAAAAAGTTAAAGTCCCAACAGCCAAGCAAAATGCACCAAAGGTTACTCTGCATGGGTTGTCTGGGCTTGGTTTACTTGCAATATGTAAAAATCCCACCCTTTTGCTTGCAATAAAAAAAAAGGGGAGAGATGAAGATTGACTCACCTACATTGGGGCTTAGGTAGAAACCCAGTTCACTCGCCCCAATCGAACTGAAAAGGTTAACCTCCCGAGCCATTGAAACAGTCTGACTGGCCCAAAGAGTCTTGCTCGGGGAAAGTGACACCGGGTTGCGAATGCTTCTCTCTACCGATCCCATGACCACCTGTTTTGAAATTGACAGAGGTCCGTGACAAATGTCAATGAGCAAAGAGACTCAAAGGACTTGCGGGCAGATGTGACCTAAAGTCACAACACTTGCACATGGATTGTGGTTAGGCCGTGAATCCTCAACAAACGCGACAATAGTTAGGTTAGGTATCCCAGTACCCTCCGCCTCCGGAATGGTCGCAGCTTGGACAGTGGTGCGTTTCAGTCTTGCCCGCCTGCGGCATCCATAGGCGGCTCATCCCACAACGTCAGGGAGACCCGATTTTGGCATAGAAGCACAACTTAAAAACAAGGGTCGATTCTGCTCGTCCCTTCGAGCGCCGTCAACACCGTTTCCTGAGCACCAGATCTTGGCAAATGTGCCATCCGTTGGGCGCCAACGATCGGCGGTACCCTTTGCACGAACTGGGGGGTCAAATCCCCAAGCCACCAATCCAAACAACCAGATAGGGATAGCCTGAAACTAGCCCTTTTGCCATAGGTGTCCTTTTGGAAAAACAGATGGCCCTGGTAAACGGAATAACACCCATCTAAACCAGTGCCTTCTATCTTTAACCAAACTAACCTAAAAAGGACACCTATGCTTGTTGCTGATTGAACCTCTTCCTCCCACCTCCGATTTGGAGTGACAGACCACCCGATTGCAACCATCGCCTTCACATTGCGGAAGCCCACAGCGCTGATCAGCTTGGCAAGCTTGGCCTTGTCTCTGCCAGTCTCTCTGCGCCAAAAAAAAAAAAAACGAGCTGCTGCAGCCCAACGGTGTTCAAAGCAAAAGTGCTGCACACCTGTTAGGACAGGCCCATGTTGACACTTTCCACGAGGCAAAATGACCGCTCGTCTGCTGCCTTGGTAGCTCACCTATTTGGGTCAGAATCGCGAGATCCCTCCCTTTCACTGAACTCGTCTTTTTGCTGCGCGCAATCTGAGTGGTTTGCCCATGGCGTCCCTGTCGAGATGCGATTTGCACGCTTCAAAGCAAAACGTCAGACCAACACCACAGCCCTACTTGGTCACCCCCAACCCAACTTGCTGCCGTGGGGTCAGATTCACTACAAGCAAGAGCCAGGAGCCCCTGTTGCCCTGACTCCTCCCTGCCCCGCCCCAGCTCAAGCCACACCGCCGCCGACCGCACCTCGGGCGTTGCGGCAATGCTCCGCACCGTGTTGCCGTGCTGCTTCAGCGCGGCCATGGCCTGCGCACGCGCTGAATCTTGTGCCCATAGGCAGGGCAGCGCGCATTCGGTCTCGTGATACTGTGGTTCGGATCCGCTGCAAAAAAAATGTACATGAATGATATGTGTATGTATAAAGTATCACCTTAGCTGTGTGCCCCGATAGCTGAAAGCTTTAGGGGTTCTAACTTCTAATAAAGAAGGGAAAGTGATTTGCAACATTGACAGCTGGGTGCTGGGGGGTTGTTTGGGGTGCTGTTCGAGCCGCTAATGATGGTGCGGGCGCATATTTTCAAGATTGACGGCAGGGTGCTAGGGCACGCTGTTTGGGGTGCTGGTGCAGGTGCTGTTTTGGGGTGCTGTTTGGGTCGCTGTTTGAGGTGCTGGTGATGGCGCGGGCGCATTTTTGCGAAATTGACGGCCGAGTGCTCTGGAAGTGCTGTTTTTGCGATTGATGGCAGGGTGCTAGGGGCATGCAGTTTGGGGTGCTGGCGGGATGGTTTTGGGGGGCCTGGTGACGGGTGCTGGCGCGTTTCTGCGAGATTGACTGCGGGTTTTAGAGGGCATGCAATTTGGGGACTCTTGTGCAGGTGCTGTTATGGGATTCTTTTTGGGGTGCTGGTTGAGGTGCTCTTCGGGCAGTGCTGATAGAGGTGCTGCAATCTGGGGTCTATGCTGGTGTATTATTTAGTCTACTTCTTGATCAACATTCACTACCCACCCTCTGCTAATCATGCACAAGCTGGTAACCAGCCACAATGGCGATGACTGAACCACGCCATGATGGCAAACAATTCCAGGCGAAACGACGCATGTGCCGCAACCTCCGGCGCGCCTCTGCTGTGGCTTGGTCCCGCGTCTGCGAGGAGAGCATGGCAGCAACCAGGCCTGAAGAGAACATCTCTCCAGGAGAAAAGCAAGTTGAACCCATCGGCCAAGACCAAAATGGGGGCTTTGGCGCTCAGCGAAACCGAAGGTTGCCCACTGAACAGCTCAACTCGCCGTACTTTCCCGGTACGAAGGGGGGAAGAAGACGACCGCGAAATTTTGGGCGGTAGGTGACAGATCTGCGCTGCTTTCCTTTTCAAGAAAGACGACAGACTCAATCACTCTGTTGATTGTTCCGGGCGCGCCCATGTTGCTGAGTCTCTTGCACACAACTCTGCCATCCAAATTTGGTTGATGGTTCGATAGGGGACTGCCATGGTTCACTCCCGTGCAAACTCTTGAATTGGCTTCCCAAAATGTTGCCCAATGCTGAGCATCCCTCGCCCCAAGCAGTTCGTGAAGGGTTGCACATCCAGCTGAAACTTCCCAATAGGAAACGCGGCCCCTAAGCTTCTTAGGTATATTTTACAACCCTTGGCATGGTTGCAAAAAACAAAACTGTTTTTGTTTTGCAGCCCCCAACTAAAAAGATCAGAGTCAAAAAACAACGTCATCGTCATCGTCATCAAAAAAATTTTGCAGCCTCAATCATCGTCATCCAACTAAAACAACACAACACCTAGCAGCTTGCCAACCACAGTGAGGCATAGTCCCCAGAAGCGCCATGGCCCAAACCCAAACCCTCGACGCAAACGCTCGTAGGCGGCGGCATTGCCACTCGTAGGTCGCCTGTGCGACGTGCAGTCGGCAACCAAGGGAGACCACCTGGTGATCCGTGCATATCCTAAAACTCGCCCAGTGAGAAAGACAAAAACACCGTGCAGATTCATCCTGTGGGCAGTGATTCTCCCTTTTTGCACAAACGAATCCAGCCCAGTTTGATCCGAGGCTACCAAATGCTTCTAGAGGCTGGTGTGGATTGGCCAAATGAACATGATCTGGAGACTTGTTTGAGGATGCCTTGTTTGTTTGTCTCAAACCCTGGCACTTCTCCAGAATTCAATCTGATTTGAGTCTGCCTGGTTCATGTGCTCCTTGCATGTGCACCGACGCCCAACTTGGCAGTAAGAGTGGGTTGGGGATGACTTCAGGAGAGGGGTTAGGCTGGTCTCTCGGGAAAAGTTTCGGGCAGGGTTCCAGGGTTTGGGCAGGGGTCACAGTGGGCTTATGGTGGGCTCAGGGCGGGGAGCCAGCAACAGCCAACAGCAGAAAACAACAGCAAGCTCAAAGCCGCAAGAGTCAAACAAAACAAGCCGCCCAACAACTCCAAACGGCCGAAACAGTACAAAAGCCTAAACACAAAAGTAATGCTTCGAAAACAACTCCACCATGCCCCCTGAAAACGGCCGTCCCAAATGAGCGGAGACTCAGTCCATTTTGGGGGCAGAAGGTGGTGTTTTAACCACCCAAAAGGCGAGTCGGAAGTATAGCCCAGCCCTTCCAACACAGCATGCCGAGCCCATGGCCAATGACAGACTCCGGCCATGTGGCCTCTCCACTCTATAGCTTCCGTGAAGAATTTGGGCGCTCTCTTACAGGGGTCACTGGATGATCCAAAAAAAAAGAGAGAAAAAGTCCATCAATCTACTGGTGGCTGCGCCATCAAAAACAAGAACGCCACGAAATGGAGTGCTCGAACACCCCCAACCCCCACCCCCTCCCCACCCTCCCCCCCACCCTCCCCCCCACCCTCCCCCCCACCCTCCCCCCCACCCTCCCCCCCACCCCCTCCCCACACCCCCACCCCCCCACCCCCCCCACCCCCCCCCCCCACCCCCCCCCCCCCACCCCCCCCCCACCCCCCCCATTTCGGGCTTCAACTTCCGGGCCCAGCGCCTCCCCCGCGCTTCCCTCCGCCTTGGACGCCTTGGGGTCCGCCAGGCGCTCGCACCCGATGGAGTCCACCGGCGCCGTCCTCCTTCCACGTCGCCGACGCCGGGCGCCGGCGGCGCGGGAGCGCCGAAGACGCGGCAATTTTTTTTGGCGCGCGGCCGAAGGGACAGGGTGGAAACATCTGGGCCCCTTGGAAGGTACTCAAGAAACTCAAGAACAAAGAAAAGAATTTTTCGAAGGACGGCCGGCCGGTGCGGTTCTCTCTCTTGTGGGGTTTTTGCTTGGGCTGGTGGAAGTACAATGCCAACCACTATATCCCGTACGGCGTGTGCCCGCACGCCGAAAGGTGGATCCTCTGGGTCGCCCACCAGGAAACCGAAAAGTCGAAAGCTTCGCCAGCGGACCACAGCCCACCTGGCCCGTTTCCTGGCGCCGAGCCCCCGATTTCAAGCTGTGCAGTATGCCATTGATGCTTTGCCGGGCTGTCCATTCGCGAGCACATAGGTCGGAATCAACAAGGCCAACTCCAAATGCGCTTTGTTTTTCGGATGCCCTGGCCAACAGAATTGATTTTTTCAGATGGACCCAGCAAGGGTGAGTCTCGGTGAACATCCGAAATCAGCCACGAGGTGGCCGTGGACGAAAGTATCGTGAGAAAAGGCTGCAACATATCGCTGTGGCTCAAAATTAAAGAGCCGGGGTTACGCATGTTTTAGTCTTTGGTTGCATCTACCAAGGTGCCATTTTGGTACATTTTTTTGGGCCACAGCCCAAAAAGAATTGTCGAGGGGGACTTGTCAGAACCTGACCCTTTGCTTGGTCCCTGTTTGAAGAGCACAAACAGAAAACGTGCCGGTTTAGGGGGGTCAAACGCGGTCTTGGGAAAATCTTGTCTGGTTGCCCCAACCCGGTCTGGCTTCTTGTTTGTGGTTCAGTTGGCAAAGGAAATGCCAAAACTGACAAACACAGAGCCACCCTTTCATATCCTTCATCCCGCCAACTCAAGTGGGCAGGTGCCCACCTGCCCACTAAAGCAGCACAAGAAGCTGTTAAAACAAAGATCCTGGCCACGTCGCAGCGCCCCTCCACTCTCCACCGAAAGCTTCGTCCCCTGCAAGCGAAGGCTCCCTTGGTTGCCTGAACGTCACAACTTCAGACCCAATGACCTGGGTGCCGTGCCATGCAATGCGAGCAGCAGTTCTGTAAGCTGGTTGCCTGGTTGCTAAAGCTCATAGATACCTGAAAACCAGGCGTCTAGGTTCACTCCATTTTGTGGGATTGCAAAGAACATCAGCATGTGGCACCCATTGAGGACCTAAATGTACCAGGAAGCCAGTGGGCAATATCCTTTAGCTTGAGGTCATGTTGAGAAAACATCAAAGATGCTCTTTTCCTGAGCACTACGTTTGAACAACAATCATCCGGCAATCATCCGACTACGAGATCACACACACACACCAACATACTTAAAGAACGCGGAGCTGATTCACAACCCAACTCAAATCGAGCACCACACGCCTTTTGCACTCGTTGCTTCCGCATGTCTCGCATGTCCCGCTCCCGGCACGGAGACGCTTGATGATGGACAGGTCACTCTTCCAGGTCTCGCTCCTGCGCACGCTCCAACGGCAGAGTGCCACGAGCTTCGAGCGATACTGTGGACGGAAACGAAATCCCTTCGCCCCGCTTTTGGATTCCACGGCAAACCAGGGTTGGTATTTGCAGAGGAACCATCATTCCAGTTCTTAGGTGCAGGATTGGATTGCGCCCATCCACCGTGTGCTGCAACAAAAGTTGGTAAAAGCCTATGCCCCGCACGAACGGTGCAAGACCACGGCCAGTGTTAAGTCATCCGGGCCTCGCGAATCAAATTATAGCCCTTTGCTTGTCTACCTTCCGCAACTGGGCGAGTCATTCGCGAATCATGTCTAGATAAACGACCCTCCACCAGGCTCTTTGCCGGCTGGATGCCCATGTAAAAAGGATTGCAATTGGCTCTTTGCACAGCACAAAGCGCGCTCATCACAAGTTGCAAGTCCCGGTTTGCAGAGTATTCCCCTAAGCATCCAGCAAGCCAATGTCGAGGGCTTGTCCATGGTGCCCTAGATTGGATTGGACCCTGCAGTTCGTTTTATGTTTATCACAGGGAGTTTAACAACAAGGAACTAAATGAGCTAGCTGTGTGTGGTCCTTAAGAATACATGCTCCGCGCCAGAAACAGTAAGCATAAAGCTCGAACATGCACGAAGTAGGAAAATGAGAGTTTTGCCCACCTGGCTGTGGGTCAAACAAAGGTACCCAAAATGGAACCCTGCAAATGGAAACATGGACTAAAACCTGCGGTCCCCTAGTGCTTCAATTTTGACTCACACCCACCTGAGTCCCCAGCGCCGCACGCAGGCGGAGCTGGTGCGGAGCGGTCTCTGGTGCCGGGCCCAGTATTCAGATAGACGAATAGATAGACAGACAGACAGGCAGACAGGCAGACAGACAGACAGACAGCAAGACAGAGAGACAGATAGATAAATAGGTAGATAGATAGATAGATAGATAGATAGCTCTATAGGTAGATGGATAAAGAGATGCATGGATGGATGGACAGATAGACAGATCAAAAGGTAGATACTTTAGATAGAAAATTAGACAATAAAAAAAGGAAGAAAGAAAAAACATAGATACGTAGATACGTAGATACATAGATACATAGATACATAGATAGAGATAGATAGATTAGATTAGATTAGATTAGATTAGATTAGATTAGATTAGATTAGATGAGATGAGATGAGATTAGATTAGATTAATAGATAGATAGATAGATAGATAGATAGATAGATAGATAGATAGATAGATAGATAGATAGATAGACAGACAGACAGACATACAGACAGACAGATAGATAGATAGACAGACAGATAGATAGATAGATATTGAATGATAGATAGAGAGAGAGAGAGAGAGAGAGATGGATGGAATAGATTAGATTCGATTAGATTAGAATAGATTAGATTAGATTAGATTAGATCAGATCAGATTAGATTATTGAACTAGATTTGATTTGATTAGATTAGATTAGATAGATAAATAGATTAGATAGATAGATGGATACATTGGACTAGAATAGACTAGGTTAGTTTAGATTGGATTAGCTAAATAATAGATAAATAGATTAGATAGAGACGATTAGACTAGATTAGATTGGATTACAACAGATTAGATTACATTGGAAGGACTGGACGGGGTGAGATTTGATAGATAGGTAGGTAGATAGATAGATAGATAGACAAATAGATAAACAGGCGGGCCGCGGTTCCTTGACTGTTTCCGAGCTCGAGCTTAGCTCCTTGTTGGAGAGGAATGCAAACAAAAGTGCGCTGCAGCAATGAAAGGCAGAGAAAGGCAGAGAGAATCAGAGAGAGGCAGAAAGAGCGAGACAGAGGGGGAGAGAAAGGGAGAGAGTGCGAGATAAATCGTGAAGGGAGAGGGAGAGTGCAAAGGCAAAAAGTTTCAAAAGAAGGCTGAGCCCCGGACTTTATCTCTGTGGTCGTGTGATGAAATAGACAACGTCTCTTCATTCGGCCCTTTCTCTTCCAAGGCTAAAACATGGCGGGGCCCTCCGAAACCTCCCCTCGGCAGCTCCAAATGCTCGAGTTGGCAGGGATCCTCTGAGCGATCCGCCTGGACCTGCCTGACCCTGACCTCATGTCCCCTTCCTCTAAACCAACCCCAAAACTGAGGGGACCCCCCCAACAAAAACAAGTGGCCGCCCTTTGGCTTCCCCAGCCAACCTCAAAGCCAGCATTGAGAAAGGACCCCCGGCCTCTTGCGAAACACCGCGGCACGCACGGTCGGCTTCGCACCTCGCGAGTGCCAAGGCCGGGGAAATCGACACGGCGCGGGCGAGGAGAAGCGCAAAGAGACCTGGGAGTTTCGGATGGCAATTGGAATGGGCCCCCGGATGGCAGAAAAATCTCGGCTTCCCTCGACGTTTGGACCGCGAAAGCCGCTTCGAATCCAAACCTCGTGGAATTCCCTCGAAGTGGACGTTTGGAGTGGTGGATTCTCCATTCACCCGCGAAAAGCCGGGGCTTCGAATCCAAAGCCACCGGGCTCCAAACCACCAACGGGTTCTGTGAGATTCCTTGGAGCAATCCTGGAGCCTTTTGGGGTACTATGGGGGGAAAATGGCGATGATTTCTTGACCATGCCCCACTAAGCAGAGGTTGTGGAAGAAACCATTGCCCCATGAAAAGAAGCACCCCGGCTTCATGACTGGATCCAACATCCGGGAACAAACAGCTATCTCCACTAACACGGAACCCACCAGGTGTCTTTGAGAGGGCCATCGCCGTTCGGTTCCAGCTTGATGGGTGGGTTCTGCCCCGAAAATCACCCGCCGGGAAGCTCCCATGAAGAAGAGCTCCATTCTACAAAAGGGTGGCAATGTTTTGCAGCCCCATATGAGTTTCACAAAACAATTATGTGTCGCCTAAATGCTGTGTGCTAACAGGTTTTCTTTGCAAAGGTGAGTCGGTGCTAGAGTTAAAATCGTTGTTCTTAGTAGAGGTTCCTGGCACAGAGTACGCAGACCAGATCGGTTGGAAATATGGGATCCCAAAAGCAGGCTAGCGAAAGGGTTTTGAGAAATGCCCAACACCCGGCAAATAACACCTGGCAAATGCTGGGCTGGTGAAAAGTTGTGTTCCATTGGGTACTTTGATAGCAATAATAGTTCTCTTTAGCCACATGCTTGTGTAAGTCTCGCGGATTCAACATTCAAATCCTACCCCGTGTTGTTTGTTGCCTGAAACTCGCTATGCGCGGAACATCTTGATCGACGGTTGAGAATGCTTCAATGATTGCAGGTGCCGGACTGACATAACAACAAGCATCTCCCTAGAAGAAATGTTTAGGCAAGAACTAGAAATTGCCTGGGCAGGGTCTCCGTTGTGCACCTGCAGCCTCTGTGTTTCGCCAATTGGGCAGCCTAGAAGTAGAACGGTCATCAATTGGCAGCGGCAGTAAACTCAAAAAGCGTGAGGTGATATCAGCAAAGCCTACAGAACCCGCTGGACGGGAGATCGATAGGTACAAGCAAGCTGCATTTCAATAGCAAGGCACTGAGCAGGGTGTGACTCGGAGGGTAGCATTCAACACGGGGTATATTGCAAGGCAGCTGACAAACATCAACAACTCCAGCCCAGTACACTGGAGAAACGCATAGTAGAATTTGGCCATGAAGGTTAGTAAGGGACAATCCCAACCACAAATAACTGCGGCCTTCTTAATTCTTTACATGGTTCTGGGGAGACCGTTCTACTACCGCTTTTGGATTTTATTTTGTTATCAAAGCATGTCCTTTCACCCCAATGAGTCGCTGTCAGGCTTAGCCACGTGTTTCATCAATACGAAGCCCTCAAGTTGCATGTCAGAGAGATCTGATTGAACTGTTGCTCGGCTCCTATCAGCTAACTTGAGGTGCAAAACACCAAGGCTCGTAACCTTCAGTGTGACTTTATGGCTCATGGCTGACTTGGGTCTCTGTTTCTCAGCGGATCTTCAGAGTGCTGACCAGCTGAAGACAAACATGATTGAACAGGGGCACTGAGTCAGACATGGTTTGAGAGTCTAGTAATGTTGGTTTCACCCCACCAACGCTGTGCCCCTTTCAAGAAAACTCATCAGGTGGCGGACTCTCCAAAATCCCGTCCCAGTCCACAAAAACGGGAGAAGGTGGGCGCCCTTCGCCCCCTCTGTAAAACCACCCACAAACGGATGCGGTTCATGGGAAACAACACCACAAGGGTCTCCAGGTGATGTGTTGGCTTCCTTCTGGTTTTCCTTTCAAACCATACCAAAAGGGGACCACTATCTTCAGAAACACCCTCTTGGTGGCTGCGTCCTGGGGAACACCCTCTCGGTTCATGGGAAACAAACATACCACATCATGGGAAACAAACGTACCACATCATGGGAAGCAAACATAGAACCACAAAGAGGAGGCTGCCGATCAAGCAAAACTCCCTCGAGCCGGCCGAGGCCAGCGCGCGGCTTCGCCCTTGCCGCCTTTACCATGGCCGCACAAGGCTTGACTCGCTCGGCCTATGCTTCTGTTGGAGTCACTGAAAGGGCAAGTGCTTCCCCTGCACGAAAGGAACCTGAGGCAAAACCCGAGGCTAAAAAATGCGCCCGAGCTGAAAAAAAAGGACTCAGGATGTCGAGCCACCTGCTGCCCGGGTTCCTGACTTCGAGTGTGGTTCGAACTTCTTGACTACAGTCGCTCGGTTTAGCAGGGAATAAGAGGGAGTACCCCGCTACCTGCGACCGTCATATGCAAACTCCTGCACACGCTGGTCTGAGCCCAACCGGCCGCGAGCACAAGATGCACAAGTCATGCAAGCAGGTGATTGAAGGGGCCGGGGCCGCGGCCGGGGCAGGAGATTGCAAACATACAAAAGAACCAGGACATGTGCTAGACCTATCCAAAAAGCCCATATGACATGCTGATTTGGGGAATCATCTGGAACGGTACATACAATCTGTATGATTTGTGGTTGGTTTTGGGCTGGGCTGGGGCTGGGTTTGGGCGAGGTGCAGCGCCGGAATGTATCGAACTCAGGGTGCCCTTCCGAGACTTCACCGGCCGTCCCTTACAACCTGCGCTATTGCAAAGGCAAACAAAAGGAAGGGTGAGTGTCAACTGCCTGGCTCGCCAGTTGCCGGTTTCTCCCAGCAACGGTGACTGCTTTTTAGGGCAAAGCCTCAGGAAAAAGCAGCAACTTGGCGATCCAGGCTGTCTGGAAGCTGCCCTTTGCATGAACTTGTCCTTGTGTTTGGAGCTACATGGTGTCATTGTCATTTAACTCTCCCTAGGCGCTTGCAGTGCTCTGCATCTTCCCAACATTAGATCAGCTTCCTTCGAATTGGTGGTCTGGATTGGTGATTTGTTGGTCTAGGAGGGGTTTCGCATCTACCTTCTGCAAGAGCCAGGGGTTCAAATCCCCAAACCCCCAGTCCAAACCGCCAATTTAGGGACACCTGATTAGACAAAGCGACCATCATTCGCATATCGTGGCTCTCTTCAGCCGCGCGTACCATCCCTCGCGGGCCCCGCTGGCAATCGGGGACTGAGCAAAGTGTCACACCCGCCCAAGGCAAAAAAGAAAAAAAAACAAAGTTGCCAATGGCATGCCCCCGGAAAGCTGTCATTCTCCAAAAGCGGTTGGATCAACTGCTGGCCCTGAAATAAAATGCCAGGCACAAGGGCAAGCCAGCCTCAAGCTCCGGAATCGAGTTCTTCCACAGACTGGATCGGATGGTCGTTGATAAGCAAAGCACGTCCCCAGGCAATATCCAAAAGCAAACGTTGCGTCGAGTGACCTGTGAGAGCCACAATGCGTTTCCGGGCAACTGCACCCCTTATGTGCGTGAACACCAGGCCTTCAAGTCCAGAATTGTTTGCCCATACTCCAAACCTTGCCCGTCAACCCTGCAGGCAGATTGTTGTTTGAATCGTTCTTCTGAAGTCACAAGCCCAGATCCACAGCGTGGAGTCTAGGCTTCAACGCAAACAAACGGGGCTCGGTCGCCAATCGCTCTCAGACCAGCCCCGCCCCCGCCTCCGCCATCGCCCGTCCATCCGCCGTCGCCCGTCCATCTACCTCCGCCGTAGTGGCCCGGTCCTGGCGCGCGACACGAGCGCCCAAGAATTCGGACTGAGAGGAAGGATCCTAGGCCTCGTTTGTAAAATGCATCAGTATATAACCCGGACCGGCTGTAAAAACCAAGTAGGATCCGACCTAGCCAAGTTGCTGCTTTTTCAGTCACTTTTGCTGGTTTTTGGGGTAAAGCGGATGGAGAAAAGCAGCAACTGGCGATCCAGGTAGGCCTCATTTGCAAAATGAATGAGTAACCCAGAACGGCTTTGAAAACCAAGTAGCCCGCACTCCTCAAGACCCCTCACTGGGATGGAGGCATCTACATTTGAGAGATTGGATAGGATTCCATGGGAGACCGAAGGATGCTCTCAAAGCCCTGGATATAGCTTCGCATCTTAGATCGGCTCTGGGTAACCTCATATGGGTATGGCTCCTTTTTTTGGAGCCGGTGCCCCCTTTTGGTTGGTTAAGGAGAAACAAAATTGAAAACCGAAGGCGGCAGTCCGTCTCTGCGGGCTGCTTCGGGAATCGGACCCTCCAAGATGGCTTCGGTGTTCCTTGTGGTGTTAGTTAAAACGAAAAACGAGAGGTGCCAACTCCAAAAAAGAGGAAACTCCTTGTTTCTTGTGGTTTTCCTTTAAAACAAACAAACAGAGGTGCCAACTCCCCAAAAAAGGAATATAGATGTTTGCTCGTCGCAGGCCAGACTTCCAAGATCCAAAAGAGATGGCCGAGGCACCAAAGGAGATGTGCTCGCTCGACGTGAGAAACTTGGGAATGAGCCGGCACCATCCCCCATTGTCTCTGGTCGAAGCTGGCTGGGCTTTGACACATTCCCATAAATAGGAGGGTTACCCAACAAATGTTTGGATCCACAACAGGCGTTTATGAATCGTTTCGCATCATCAACCCACCAAGAGGAAATGGGTCTGAGCTGCTGGGACCTTGCTTTCATTTTTTTCTTTAAATCAAATAACAAGCTCGACCACAGGCAACTCGAGCTCTGTGTGCTTTCGGCGCGCCTGCATTGACCGGGGGCTCGGGAGAAATCTTCGCGTTGGACTTCAGCAGGGAGATCACCAGATGTTCTCGGCATCGGAAGGCTTCCGATCAGAAAATGACCAAAGGGCACAAGCCGTTCGGATGAGTCTTTTTGTGAGAGTACCTTTTTTGTGTTTTTTTGGTTGATGCCGAAAGGAAGCCACCATTTTGGGGGTCCCCCAAAACAGACACATCCCATTTTTGGACACATTGTCATGAAAGGTTGCTTCACATGGCGGGCCTATTGGGTTTTCTTAAGGCATGGGCTCCGTGTCATTGACCAATGCAGCAGGGGCTCTTACAGGAATAGGAGTCAAAGGGCAATTGCTTCTTTCAATGTGGCGACTTGGGCCAGTGAGTCATTTGAATCGCTCGACTTGGGCCACTTGGGCCATTTGGGCCACTTGGTTGAAGGCCTCAATAGACTTCGCCAACATTCGAGGGTAATCTTCTGTCAGCCAAGGTAATCTCCACACTCTCCAAGGTGTCTCAAACCATTGTTTCACTTCCGCCATATGGGGGTTGATCCAAAGGTCCATGATACATGGGATGACCATTGGGAATTTCCCATTGGAAAAGTTACCCATGGTCATTCAGAGGCCAGGAGTATTGATCCACCCCCGAATGGAATGGGATGCTGAGCCCATTCTCAGAGTGCGCCCATTGATTGCAACTACTCAGAGTTACTCAACAATGATCTTCCACTCTATCAGAGTCAATTCACCATCAAGGCTACTTTGGCCACATATGGCTTGAGCAAACAACAAGAGCCCACCAGGGTCACCAGATTCAAGACTTCTCTTCTTTGATCTGGCGGAAAGAGAGGAGACAGATGTTCTAAGTGAAGGGTTTGTGGACATTCTGCTTGAATCCCTTCGACACAACCATCCTCGATCCTTTTTTCGACCATCACAAAAACGAAACCATCAAGTTGCGGAGACGTCCAAACATTTCACCACAAGCTGCTTTGATAGGTGCATCCCAGATTCTACTGGACCTTAGGTGCATGTTGCACCACCCTTGTCTGGGCCGGTCTGAGGGTCTGGGGCCCTGGCTGACGTCAGGAGGCTTGTAGGGTGGCGGTGGGCCCGAGGGGAAGGGCGCCTGCAAGTGGCCCACCCCGAAGAAAGACTGGGCATGAGGGGGTGGGGGGGGGGGGGGCCGGGGACATGTGGGGGGGGGGGGGGGCAACATTGCAACGGGACATCTGATCAGTATTTGGTTGCATGTGATGTGCGTGTGGTTTGACACTGTTCAAAAACCCGCCACACTCGAGTGTGACTCGCGCCACGGGTCACTCCACAGGCGGGTGCCGAGCCGCGCGACTGGAAGCTACGTTCGATATCCTTTACGGGAACTTTGGACGGGAAGAGGATTTGCATCTTTAGGTTGTTTCAGAAGGTCTGTAAATTGTCGTGCACACAGCCTGCTGTCACATTTTGGCCCATGCCACACTACCGACACTACCTGTTTGCTGGTGGCTTCAAGGAAACAAACAGAAAGAAGGGGGGCCTCAGCCGCAAGTGAGCCATGGAACCTGACGTTTGCGGGTGCAGGCTTGGACTCCATTTCTCTAGCGCGTTCCATGGCCGGCAACGCGGACTGGAGGCTTTTTCCATGATTAGTCAAATCCAAAAGTCCCGACTCTCCACCTAAAATCAACGTGGACAGGAGGATATGTCCCATGAAAATCACTGGAGTTCTTCTTGAAAAGTGAACCAAATCGTCTACCTAGGGGCCTCAAGTTGTTCCCCCTGCCTCATAGCGCGGCGCCTGCACCTGATTTTGTCTTTGCCGCGCGAAACGGCGAAATAGCGAAAGGGCTGCTGACTCGCCAATGGGGACTCCTTAATTGGGAAAGCGAACACTGGACACATGGGGGGGAACCCAAAAAAGGAACCCTGGTAAATAGAACCAAGCACTAAAACCCGCGGTTTTCTGGAGGTTTGATTCTGACTCATACCCATACTGTGGATGGTTGGGAAATCCATGTCGCACCCCGAAATGAAACCACGCTTGAAACTATAACGGTTGTTGGTATGCACAGAGGAAAAGGAAAAAGAAAAAAAAAACACCAGGTTGTTTGTTGGGTGGTGCGAAACGGATTTTGTCCATACCACAGTATGGCCGTGAATGAAATCATGGGGCCCTCTTGGCCCCTTGGTGGACATCAAATTTCGTCGGGGATTTATGTCCAGCTCCCACTTTCAGGGTCCCCTATTTAAAATTCATAGGCAGCTTTGAAGACTTCAGATCTTCAGAGTGGTCAAAACGAGATGGAGAAAAGCGGGCCATGTTGAGCAAAATATTTTCACAGTTGCGTGAATCATGACATGGATGCTTCGTGAAAACTTGGATGATTTAGTTTCGGGCCGG